GGTTGTTCAAAACATTACAAATTTCTTGACATATCATATTCCACACTTTGATTCAAGTGGGTTATGAACTCCCACCTTCACCCCATACACAGATTGCAGAATCACATCAGTTACACATCCATTGATTTACAAATTGCCATACTAGTGTCTGTTGTGCTCTGCTGCCTTTCCCATCCTCCACCCTCCCCCCTCCCCACCTCTCCCCTCCCCTCCCCTCCTCTCTCTCTACCTCCTCCACTGTATAACCCTGAGGGTCTCCTTCCATTACCATGCAATTTCCCTTCTCTCTCCCTTTCCCTCCCACCTCTCATCCCTGTTAAATGTTTATCTTCTTTTCCTGCTCTTCGTCCCTACTCTGTTCTTAGTTACTCTCCTTATATCAAAGAAGACATTTGGCATTTGTTTTTTAGGGATTGGCTAGCTTCACTTAGCATAATCTGCTCTAATGCCATCCATTTCCCTGTAAATTCTATGATTTTGTCATTTTTTAATGCAGAGTAATACTCCATTGTGTATAAATGCCACATTTTTTTTATCCATTCGTCTATTGAAGGGCATCTAGGTTGGTTCCACAGTCTTGCTATTGTGAACTGTGCTGCTATGAACATCGATGTAGCAGTGTCCCTGTAGCATGCTCTCAAATCTTATTAAACTTTTTTATAATGAAGTTCTAATTTAAAGAATGTGTACACACTGTAAGAATGGCTTGATTTCCACCAAAGAGGCACATAAGCATAAGAGGACAGAAATAGTTAATATGTGTGAAATCAGAGATTCAGGGCCACCACTTGGAACTGTGCCTTCTTGATTCCCAGACTTTGCATTATACATTGCGCTTCTTGAGTAGCTGCTATATAATCTCATCTAGGAACTCTAAGGGCTTCTTAAACTTAATATGCACTGGCATTCTCTGAACTTTGGTGCTAGAATAGTTATCTAGGTGGTAGAATATTTCCTTGGCTGTGATTTTTCTCATATGGGGAGTTACTACACATAGAAACCAGGGGATATTCTTCTAGATTCTAATCTATTTTCAGTCCCCTCCATGGATCTTTGATAAGACTATTTATTTATTTATTTTTATTTTTTGAGAGAGAGAGAAAATTTTTTAATATTTATTTTTTAGTTTTTGGCAGACACAACATCTTTGTTTTGTATGTGGTGCTGAGGATCGAACCTGAGTCGCACGCATGCCAGGCTAGCGCGCTACCGCTTGAGCCACATCCCCAGCCTGATAAGACTATTTATGACAAAGTTGACTAACTCTTAGTTGAAGGCTGAGTCTGTGTCTCAAGATATGCAACATTGGAAGCTCTTGCTTATGTACTAATGAGACACTATAAGATATATATTTTTAAAAATCTTTTAAGTTTGTAATTCTTTTCCTCTGGTGATTTTCAAACACACTTAGAATTAAACCCAAATTCCTTAGCTTTCAAAGCTCATTTACTTAAACAGCTCATCTCATTTCATTTACCCTTCTTGTGTTTTGCTCTACTTTTCTCAGATATGCCAAACTCTTTGCCTCTTTCTGGAATTCACTCTTTTCCACATCTCTGATCTTTATATGGTTGTCTCCTTGTCATTTAGTGGTTGCTTAAAAGTACTTCCTTATAGGTCTTCCTTACTACAAAGTCATTGTAACTAGAATGTAATCTTCTTGAGAGCCAAAGCCATTTTATACACCATTAAAGTTTAAAGCAGTGTCTTGTCATATGGTAGGCATGTGTGTGGTTTTTTTGTTTGTTTTTTTTGAACAAGTTTGTACATGTACTTTTTAATGTACCTGAATTCTGAAACTACTGATACTGATAGTTGAAATGTTTTAATGGGAATTTGGGCTGCTTGTATATTTATTTACTAGATGGAAGGTCATAAGTGAATAAAATTACAAAGGTCATAAGTGGATAAAATTAGTAAATACTTTAGAGCAAAGCTGTTTAATCTTTATGAAGTTAAATTGATTTGAATATTGAAATAACATCTCAAAATATTCTTTTACATAGTCATCTCAGCAAAACTTAAAGAAAATAAAAAGAATTGGTTTGGACCAAGTCCTTATGTGGAAGTCACAGTGGATGGACAGTCAAAAAAGACAGAAAAATGCAACAATACCAACAGCCCCAAATGGAAGCAACCCCTTACAGTGTAAGTTTGAAAATATTTTCTATAGCATAATATTTTGTTTAGTAGGTGAGCAGAAGTGGAACGTTAATGTACTTATTTCTTTGTTTTACCTTTTTTTTTCTTTCACCAATTTTCTCCCCTCTTTTCCTTGAAGTCTTTCCTCTAATCTCTCTTTTGTTTTTCTCTTTTCTTTTGTAGTACTGGGAATTGAACCCAGGGCCTTGTGCATGTGAGGCAAGCACTCTACCAATGAGCTATATTCCCAGCCCTCCTTTGTTTTTCTTTAGCTACTTCTCTCTCTCTTCTTCTAGTCTCTTTCTTTATCTTCTCCGGTTTAGAAGGTTATGATATCATTATGATTGCTGAACAACTGGGAGGGCCCATGTTCATGAAGCTAGAAAAATTTATAGCAGCTCTTTTCTTATCTTGGAATTGAATTAGGAGGTTATAAGCAGCTCACTTTATTATTATTTGGGGGAGTACTAGGAATTGAATTCAGGGCACTTAACCACTGAGCCACATCATCTCCAGCCCTTTTTATTTTGAGACAGGGTCTTGCTAAATTGCTTAGGGCCTTGCTAAGTTGCTGAGGCTGGTTTTGAATTTGTGGTCCTCCTGCCTCAGCCTCCCAAGCCACTGGGATTACAGGCATGTGTCATTCCACCCAGCTAACTCCCATTATTTTTAACTTTGTTCTTAAAAATCGTTTTTTGTTTAAATTCTTAATGCCTCTACAAATCAACACAAGAGTTTTTTTTCTACTATAAAAATGCTACACTGTACATTTTATTCTACAACTTTGTTTTTGTACTTAATACTTTTATTATGTTTATCTTTCTAACTGAATACATAAAGGTCTAACATCACTATTATAACTACATATTCCTTTTTAAATAATATTTCTTAATGTAGATGGACTATAATTTATTTAGTTCCCTATTGATTGATTGGTTTCTAATATTTTCTAATATTATGCTACTAGACTAGTGTAATACACATCTGTGTGCATATATCTTTAATGTTGGTGTTTTCATCTGTAGTAGAAATTCATAAAGCTCAGTTTCAACACTAACTAATAAAATCCCAAATATTGACACCATAACCTAGGATATTGACTACTCACCAAAAGGAATTATAGATAATTTTTCATTTTTAAAAATAAGGTAAGAAGGGCTGGGATTGTGGCTCAGCGGTAGAGCACGTTCGCCTAGCACATGAGAGGCCCTGGGTTTGATCCTCAGTACCACATAAAAACAAATAAACAAAGGTATACAGCTCAGTTGGTAGAGTGCTTGCCTCACATGCACAAGGCCCTGGGTTCAATCCTCAGCACCACACATACACACACACACACACACACAAAAAAAAAAAAAAACTATGCTTTTTAACTTTTTTTTTTTTTTTTAAATCAACAAAAGGATTTTAAAATACTGTAGCACATTTGATTAGGGAAGCAAATGTGTGGTAAAGTGTAGATCAAAATATTTCTAATTGTTTCCACATAAAATATTACAATGACAGGTTACTTTCATTACATTATACTTGGAATTCTTGAATTTTTTTCCTCTTAGGAAAATAAACTATTGACAAGGTCTTTATTCCTATATAGTGTGATAAGACATTAGAAACTGTAAACTCTTCTCATCCCATTATACATGCTTATGTGGATTATATTCCTGTAAATGACAAAATAATTTGAAATACCTGCGTCTTTAACATGGGTATTAACCTTCTAGGGGCATCTTGATGTATTTTATGATGATTTTGAGCAAATGAATGAAATTTAAGAATTTTCTTGAATTTTGAGTTCCGTTTTGCAAAATTATCAAATCTTTTTTTTTTTTTTTTTTGTGCTGAGAGTTGAACTCAGGACCTCATGCATACTAGGCAAGCACTTAACCATTGAGCTATAGCACTAGCCCTGTTTTACAGAATTATCATTCTGATGCTCTTCATCTACATTTATTTCAGCATTAATGGTTTTTAGGCTGTTTTTAATTGGTGGCCCATTATAGATTAACTCTAATTTAAGCAATATAAGAATTAAAAAATGTAAAAATCAAGTGATATTTGTAAAAAGGTCACATAGCATCTACAATGACCAAAGACGCTCAGCTTAATAATAGAATGACTGCTCATCTAACTTGCAGCTGTTATTAGTGCTCACTAAATTTGCACTTTGAGGCATTTAGACTGACTCTTAGGCTATTAATGCCATGAACTGCTTAGTTCAGAAGTTAGGAAGAAATAAACTTATAGCCCTATATGCTAGTGCTGTTGCTGAGCCTAGATGTTTGGGGCAACTCACAGCTCAAGTTTTTCTCTTATATTTTTAAGTTGTAGCATATTGATCAGCAATTTTAACACAGTTTCCATTGCTGTACAGCAGATTTTATAAGCTGCTGTCTAGAATCAAATTGAAATTTAAATAAACTATCTGATTGTATCCTTTTCCATAGGGGGAAAAAAGTGAAGTTAAAATTTATTTGCCTTTTATTTTTTCCCCATAATGTTTTCCTGTTGGCTTATAAAGAAATACTTTCTTGTTCCTGTTCTTTTTTTCTTTTTTCCCCAGTACTTGGGTTTGAACCCAAAGGTGTTCTACTATTGAGTTACATTCCCCAGCCCTATTTATTTATTTATTTTTGAGACAATGTCTTACCCAGTTGCCAAAGCTGGCGTTGAACATGTGATCCTCCTGCCTCAGCCACCCGAGTCACTGAGATTACAGGCATGTGCTATTATGCCTAGCTAGAGAAATGTATTTTTTTTTATTTTAATTTTTTAAATTTATATATTGACAGTGGAATGCATTACAATTCTTATTGCACATATAGAACATAATTTTTCATATCTCTAGTTGTATACACAGTATATTCACACCAATTTGTGTCTTCATACCTGTATTTTGGATAGTAATGATCGTCACATTCCACCATTATTAATAACCCCTTAAAATAATATATTTTATGTGCTCTCCTGAAAGTCATATCTGAGAATGTTGAAAAGAGAAAAGTACCTTATCCCCTTCTGCCAAAAGGGGACAATGTGAAAATGGAAAAATTTTTAGTTTGTTTAAGTTACTACTTACTACTGGTAAAATGATGGTGGAAATATGATGATGGCAATAATAGGCATAGGTGGACTTCTAACCCCAAAATTTGATCACATTTTAGAATGAAGTATAAAGAAATTCAAACATTTTTGGAATTTGTGTTTATAGAATTGAACCATAGAAAGAACTATGATATGCTCCCGATTTTCTACTTTTTGACTCTAAAATAGTTTTTATGTTTATTCCAATTCTGATACCCCATTTTCTTTGGAAAATACCATTATAAAGTACATTCTTTATTGGTTTCATATTAGCAAGATAAGAGTGAGTCTATATTTGATAGTTGTCCTAGACACTTTGCCTCTCTCAATGTGAAACTTGGTATCTCTAATATAATGTGGAACTTTTGAGTATAAATTTTAATAGTTGACTTTTGTTCAAATGTAGTTCTACCATTTACTGTGTAACCTTGAGCAATTTGCTTAACCTCTAAATATCAGTTTCAGTGTCTAAAGATGGGAATGATAATTCCTACCTCATAAAGTTACTATGAAGAGTAAATGAAACAACTTCAAGCTTGGCAGGCTGTGACAAAATAAGGACTTAATTTGTAAATTCACACTTTAAAAATAAAATTTTATTTATTTAATTTTCAAATAGACTCATAAGAATTATATATTTGTGGGATAGAATTATACATATTTGTGGGATACCATGTGATGTTTTAGTAAATTCACTTTCTTAATGGTTTGTTGCAGTATATAAGCAGTTTTGATTTGTTGACAGTATGTACATGAAGTTCCTCTTGTAGTTCAACCACAGGTGAAAATAACTGTGCAAGCATAGTTATTCAAACACAGTTTTCATTAGATTAGAGAACATAGGTTAGTATTGGTTATACAGTAAACTATAAGGGGTGCATGAGAAGACTTTAGACATTAAAACTTAATTGTAACTTCTTTAGGATCCCATTGTGATATTTAATGAAAATAATATTTTCCCTCTTTTTTCACTTTTAGTATCGTTACCCCTGTGAGTAAATTACATTTTCGAGTGTGGAGTCACCAGACACTGAAGTCTGATGTTTTATTGGGAACTGCTGCATTAGATATTTATGAAACATTAAAGTCAAACAATATGAAACGTATGTATATAAAAATAATAGAAATTGTGCTTAGCTGTTTGTTTTTCTGGAAGAAATTTGTATGTCAAATATGTGAAGAACTCATGTTGGTTATTGGGTTAATACAGGATGAATCTTGAACTATTTAAAGCATTTTAAATGGTTTGTCTAATAGTTGGTTTTTGTATTCATTTTACATCTACAATTTTTAGTAAATATTTACTTAGTAAAAAAAATTAGAGCAGAGGTGAAGGAAAAACAATCTCACTTCAGAGTATGTGTCATTTTGGAGGTAACAGACATAGGTAGACTTCTCAATGCTTATTTAAAATGCTTATTTCATTTTAGGTGGTGGTGGTTTTATTTACATTTATAAAACTCATAGCTTATTTATTTAATATCATGATTTTAAAACATAGTTTTTCTATTGACTGCTTAAATACACTTTAAAGAATTTTCTTCTTATATAGGGCTTATGAGATATAATCCATTCTCAAGTTCTGTTTTCATTTAATATAATACAGGTATATATTGCTAAATAATCTTATTTTTCATCTTAAAAGGGTGAAATGAATATAAGTGAAATTAGTGAGATTTTAAATATTTTACATTATGGATATTAAACATTAGCAAATTTTGTCTCTTTTTAAAATACAATGTTTTGATGTCAAAAGGCCTCAAACTTTGGGTGAAGCATAGCAAAACAATTTAAATACATATGGAGTTTTTTCTGATATTAGATTTTTAACAGTTAAGATGGTTTAAAAGAAAAAATAATCATTTTTCTATAATTTTATTCTCTTTCAGTTGAAGAAGTGATTGTGACTTTGCAGCTTGCAGGTGACAAAGAGCCAACAGAGACAATGGGAGACTTGTCAATTTGTCTTGATGGGCTGCAGTTAGAAGCTGAAGTTGTCACTAATGGTGAAACTACATGTTCAGAAAGTAAGTGATCACTTTTTGTTTAAGATTTAAAAAAATTTTTTTTTTTTAAGATATTGATAGACCTGTATTTTATTTATTTATACATGGTGCTGAGAATCATACCCAGTGCCTCACACATGCCAGGAAAGTGTGCTACTGCTGAGCCCCAGCCCCAGCCCTGTTCAAGATCTTTCATGAGTCTTCTGACATAAAATAGTCACTGTAGTATGCTGCATGGAGTCATTGCTATTCTTTTTCAGAAGAAAGAAATGATATGATTTCCTTTTTAAAAAATAGATACTGATGGGGCTGGGCTTTTGCCTCAGTGGTAGAGTGCTCGTGTAGCATGCATGAGGCACTGGGTTCGATCCTCAGCACCACATAAATGTAAAATAAAGATATTGTGTCCACCTAAAACTAACTAAATAAATAAATATTCAGAAAAAAAAATAGATACTGATCACTTTAAACATTTGTTTTTTTAATGATTTTTTTTTCTTGATGGTGCTACAGATTTAAACAAGGTTTGCTCTGACACTGAGCTGAATCCCAGCCCTTTTTATTTCAAGATAGGGTCTCATTAAGTTGCCCAGGCTGGCTTGGAACTCAGGATCCTCCTGTCTCAGCCTCCCGAGCTGTTGGGATTATAGGCATCTGCTGGCATGCCCAGCTTTAGTTCATTGTTTCTTTTCTTTTCTTTTCTTTTCTCTTCTCTTCATTTCCCTCCCTCCCTCCCTTCCTTCCTTCCTTCCTTCCTTCCTCTTTCTTTCAGGATTGAACCCCAGGGCACTTAACCACTAAGCTACGTTCCCAGCCCCTTTTATGTTTTATTTTGAGGCAGGGTCTCCGTCTCACTAAGTTGCTGAGGCTGGCTTTGAACTCACTGTCCTCCTGTCTCAGCTTCCCAAGTCTCTGGAATTATAGGCATGTACAACTGTGCCCAGCTACTGCATTGTTTCTTTAAGTAAAAAGCATTTGTATTTTTCTGTAATTTGAAAGCTAGTTGAATAAAAGTTGAATCTCTGCTGGCCCTGTGAGTAGTGAATTGATTTATTAAATATTTATTCTGTATGCCAATGAGGGTAGTTAATATAGTATGGTTGATGACATATTCATTTCCTCCATTCCTAGTAGCAAACATTGTTTGTTTTCTGTAGCATTGTCTGGTTGAGTTTAAAAAATGACTCCAGGTTCTTCTTAGTGTTCTTCCAGACAGCCAGTACAATCCATTTGCCATTCCTTTTCTATTTCTGTAAGTTGCATGTTACTATAATCACAAAACTGATTTATTATATGTAAGTTGGTAAATCTTATAATTTATGATTTTCTGGTTTGTGTTAAAAGGGAATAAATATAAGCAATGTAAGAAGTTTCCGGTGGCACCTGAGCATTTTAATAGCAAATGCTAGTAGTTCCTAACAGATACTTCTGACACTTAGTAATTTGCCAAGTTTATTTTCACTTGAAATATAAATTTGAGAGGCTCTAAGGCTGAGAGCAGATTAATGGTTTCTTTGATTAATCTGTCTTAGATATCTTTGTTTACGTAGAACTAGATTATAAAACATATTTTGGTTATCAAATGCTTTTATTCTTGCAGTGGAGGATGTCCTATGTCCTCTCTCACAAGTTTTTTTCGTAGCAGGACTTTCAAGATAGTCCTGAGGTATCTTCCAGACTGTTTTTGTTTGTTTATTTATTTGTTTGTTTAATATTTATTGTTTAGTTGTAGTCTGACCCAATACCTTTATTTTATTTATTTATTTTTATGTGGTGCTGAGGATTGAACCCAGGGCCTCTCATGTGGTAGGCTAGTGCTCTACTGCTGAGCCACAACCCCAGCACCCCCAGACTGGGTTCTTTAACGTTAATGAAGTTGTATGGAAATTTCTAATGGTTATACTGCTTCAGAATTGACACTTTAATTGATTAGTGTTCACAGGAAATATTTTTCTTTATGTAAGTTGAAAGTCTGGAAGATACAATACAAGTTAAATTTCATAGTTAAACTGCCCTAAACCTTGGTATTTATTGCTTCCTAATAAGTTTTCCCCCTAGTAGTTGAAACAATTATTAATGCAAAAGTAAAGCTTATCAGTATTCATATTTTTATGAAGAATAGTAAGCAGGCAAAAGTAAAGCTTGTTGGTCTTCATGTTTCACAGTAGAATCTTAACTGCATATGTATTTCGCAGTTTTTCCTACATACATAGACATTTCTGTATTATAATTTTTCCTCTCAAATAGGAAAGCAGTTGACAGTGAGAAGTTAACTTGTTCTTTGAAGTAAAGAGAGGTTTTAATTGGGAAGTCACAGTGGATTTTAGAACTGGAGATGCCAGATATCATAGCTGCCATTTGTTGAGTGATTACCATAGTTAGGGACACTGTGCTGACATATTCTTATTAACCATCTCAACTTTGTAAAGCATTGCCTACATTTTACAGATAAGGGAAGTGAGCCTCTGAGAGTTTAAATAGTATTTCCACTCCCATACAACCTAATATTATAGAGTCAAGACTGAAACACATTTATTGATACTGCTTTGTCTTCCTTCTTCCTTTTCTCCCCTCCCCCTTCCTTTCTACTGGGAATTAAACCTAGGGGCATTTTACCACTGAGCTATATCCCCAGTCCTCTTTTGTTTTTAATTTTGAGACAGAGTCTCATTAGATTACTGAGGGTCTTGCTAAATTGTCCAGACTGGCCTTGAAATTGTGATCCTTCTGCCTCACGCTCCCAAGTTTCTGGGATTGCAGGTATGTGTCACTGTACCTAGCTACTGCCTTTTTAAATACACCTTTTGTTTCTTACTTAAAATCCTAGGAACTTTATTTTGTGGTATTTGGGATTGAACCAAGGGCTTCATGCAAGCTAGTAAGCACTCTCACCATCAAACTACATCCCTAGACGTTTACAATTTTATTTTGAAACGGGGTCTTGCTAAGTTGTTCAGGCTGGCCTCAAATTTGTGGTCTTTCTCTTTCAATCTCATGAGTAGCTGGAATTACAGATGTGAACCACTGCACCTGGTACCCTAGCTGGAATTACAGATGTGAACCACTGCACCTGGTACCCTAGGGACTTTAAATCTAGTTGTTAAAATCAAACTGTGAGTTGTTATAAGAAAAAACATCCAGTAAGGGCCACAAGCATATATGGTGAGAACTGCCTATATCCTTTGATTACCTCCATTTCTGTAACTTTTAACTACAGGTCCAAAGTGAAAATTAGAGTCTAGTACTAAAATTAAATTTGGGGGTGGCTAGGGTATTGGCTCAGTGGTAGAGCACTTGCTTAGCACATGTGAGACACTGGGTTTGATCCTCAGCATCACATAAATATAATAAATAAAGGTATTGTGTCCATCTACAACTAAAATGTAATTTTTAAAAAATTAAATCTTTGGCATGGGGCATTGTTTGATTTTTATAAGAACTGAAGTGAGGTGATTTATTTTTATATTCTGATAATTTTTCAAATGTTATAGATTTTTAGGGTTTTTTTCTTGACCATGCTTATTTACAATTGTTTTGAGAAAGAACACATAGGGTGGTTCTTACAAGAAATCTCCTTAGCCCGGCTCAGTGGCACATGAGAGGTTGGAGGCTGACGTGGGAGGATTTTTTACAATGGTTAACTGTATGACAACCATTTGAGGCCAGAATGGACAATTTAGTAAAACCTTGTTAAAATAAAAGGTCTGGGGTGTAGCATAGTGGTAGAGTGCCCTTGGGTTAAATCCCCAGTATGGAAGGAAGGGAGAGAGGGATCTATTCTGGCAGATTTAATATTCCCCATTTTTTACTTATTATTATTGTATGTTATTGTTGGGGATCAAATCCTGGGCCTTGAGTATGCCAGATAAATATTATACTACTGACCTACATCCCCAGCTCTTCAGTGTATTTTTAAATATTTATAAAAGCAAATCATTGCCTGAATTTTGGTATTAAATGTCACCAAATAATAACTAGCTGTATATTCAGTTATAATGTGAAGATTAGGTTAAATCTTTCATTCTTTCTTTTTTTTTTTTCCCGAGAGAGAGAGAGAGAGAGAGAGAGAGAGAGAGAGAATTTTTTTAATATTTATTTTTTAGTTTTCAGCAGACACAACATCTTTGTTTGTATGTGGTGCTGAGAATCGAACCCAGGCCGTATGCATGCCAGGCGAGCGCTCTACCACTTGAGCCACACCCCCAGCCCTCATTCTTTCTTTCTGCCTGCATTTCTCCCTCTCTCTTTACTTTCTTCTTCCTTCCCTCCTTCCCTTTCTTTCTCTCTCTCTTTCTCTTTCCCTTTCTCAACCCATCTCTGACTTGAACCCAGGACCTTGAACATGCTAGCTAAGAGCTCTACCGCTGATCTATAGTCCCGGGCCTTTTTTGTGGGCGGAAGATGGGTCTTGCTAAATAACCAAGGATGGCCTCAAATGGCCTCAAATTTGTAATCCTCCTGCCTCAATGTCCTGAGTAGCTGGGATTATAGGCATGAACAGGCTCTGCTTGGATTTTTTTCAATGTGATGATATTCTCTCTTTTGGTACTTAAAAACAAATTTTTAGTTCTTTCTTTTTGGTGGATAAACTTCTTAAAATGGCAGTTTTATAAGTAAACCTTTTACAAGTAAACCAAAACTTACTCAGCATTTTTTTCCCTTTTCTTCCTACTTTAAGCTGTCTTTAAAAACTAGAGAGCTTTATGTGTTCCCCTGTTCCCCAACCCTGAAAAATGTTTCATATCCCACTAAGAATCTCTATTATCTTTCCATTGATATTTTTTCTTGTTTCTCTATTTTGGAAAGTACCCACATAATTTGTCCTAGTGTTTTCCTCCACTTAAGTATAGAATTAATCTGTTTTTATGAGTCTATAGGAAGAGGTCTTTGATTAATTTGCTTATTTTTGTAGCCCTGATATCTAAATTAACAGATTGTGGGCAGTTGTTTGTATCTGTAAGAGCTCACATATGAACTTCTTATTTATCTTTTTTTTTTTTTCCTAAAGAGAAAGAAAAATCCATTTTATTTTAAAATTCATGATTATAGAATAGGAACATATTCTTGTGAAGATCTTTATTCTTTGCCATGTATTCTTCAGGTGTATTTATTTTATATATATATATATATATTTACTTGTAGGTGGACATAATACCTTTATTTTATGCATCTTTATGTGGTGCTGATGATCCAACCCAGGGCCTCACACATGCGAGATGAGTGCTCTACCGTTGAGCCCCAGCCCCAGCCCAACTTCAGGTGTATTTAGGAATAGGTTTTAGAATATGGTTCTAAATGTATATGTTCCGTTCCTTTTTAATTTTGATTCTTTGTCATACAGTTAACCATTGTGAAGTATACAGTTCAGTGGTAGTGCATTCACAATACTACAATGTTTCAAAACTAGAATCTCAGAAAAAGAATTAATTCACTTCTTCCTCTAACCTCTGGTACCAACTTGCTTTCTAGAAGTCTCTATGGATTTGCCTGTTGTAGTAAGGAACTATAATTGACTTTTCATGAATGGATTCTTAGTATGAGAATTTTAAGTTCTGAGTTGTATCATGATTAGTATTTTCTTTTTATGTATATGTATATATATTTAATATTCTGTTGTGTGTATCTGTTTATTCATCCATTGATGGACATTTAGCTTTTTTCCCTTTGGCTATGTTTATTTGTATATAATGCTGCTATTAACATTTTGGTACAAGTTTCTGTATGGGCATATGTTTTCGTTTCTCTTGGGTGTAGATCTAGGAGTAGAATTACAGATGTTCGTTTTTAATTGTTTCTCATTTCTCATTAATTTTTATTTATTTATTTTAAAAATATATTTGTTTGTAGATGGACACAATATCTTTATTTTGTTTATTTAGTTTTTTTTTAATGTGCTGCTGGGTATCAAACCCAGTGCCTCACTTTTGATACACAGTTTTTCTCTACATTCTCCATTTGATAATTCCAGCATCTGAAATCTTTGGGAGTATAAATAATTTTATGTCTTTCCTTCATGTGCTCATTTGTTTGCTGTTCTTTTTTTTTTTTTTTTTGGGGGGGGTACTGGGTATTGAGCTCAGGGACACTCGACCACTGAGCCACATCCCCAGCCCTGTTTTGTATTTATTTAGAGACAGGGTCTCACTGAGTTGCTTAGTGCCTCACTTTTGCTGAGGCTGGCTTTGAACTTGTGATCCTCCTACCTCAGCCTTCTGAGCTGCTGGGATTACAGGCGCGCACCACTGCGCCCAGCCTGTTTGCTGTTCTTTGATTGCAAGTTTATGTTTTCTCTTAGTCTCTTGAAATCTTAAGATCCTAAATTGGGAATTGTTTGTACCAAGAAAATTTTTTGGTTTCTGCTAGGTGCCAGGATGTCCCACAGATTTGGAAACACTAGCTCCTTTCCAGGGTCTCCAGCCTATTGTGACAATCTGTGGTGCAGTGCCCCCACCTTGCTGCTGCCCAAGGCTTTCTAATCCATTTCAGAACTGATAATTGCCCCCACGGTAACCCTGTTTTTTACATTTGCTTACTGCATCTGATACATCAGTTTAGTTTTTTTGTTTATTTGTTTTTGAGATTGCTAGGCATCCAGGAAATAAGGACAATGTGTTACACTGCTTTATCCAGGATCCAGAACTGTACATTAAAACTTCACATCATGTTCAATTGCAAGAATGGGATCCTTATTGGAATATGTTATATTCCATGTATGTATAATATGTCAAAATGCAGTAGTTATGGTTTACCCCCATATTGAAGTGAAATAACAAGGGCCATTTTTATTAAATTTTTTAAAACTTGGCTAATGAGATACAAATTTTGATAAGTTATTGCTTATGTGCTAATACTATTCTAAATGTATATATGTTTAATGCTCATGTCTACACTATAATGTAGGTGTCATCATTATCCCCATTTTATTTTATTTTTTATTTTTTGCAGTGCTGGGGATTGAACCCACAGCTTGGTGCATGCTAGGCAAGTGTTTTCCCACTGAGCCACATCCCCAGCGCTATCCCCATGTTATACATGAAAAAAAAGGCAAAGAAAAGCCAAATATACTTTTTTGTAAGGTCACAGAGTTAGTACATGGTGAATCTAGGATACAAATTCACACAGTTTGGCATTAGAACCTGTAGTTAACTATGCTTCACTGTAATAAATGAGGAAGTTTTGAAGTAGCAGTTATTTGTACATTTAAATAGGTTATTCTAGGTGATTATCTTGATTTTGAGAGGAGCAAAATACTGGTTGACTGATTTCTTACTGATGTCCCATTTATTAGCCATTTTAGGGAATACTGGGGATAATATAAAAATATTTCTTTAAAAAATTTTTTTTTTAGTTGTAGACGGACACAATACCTTCCTTCCTTTCTTCCTTTCTTTCTTTCTTTGCGGTGCTGATGATGGAACCCAGTGGTGCCTTATATGTGCTAGGTGAGCTCTCTACCAGTAATGTACACCCCCAGCCCTAAAATTTATATTTCTAGGCTGAATTAGATACTTGCCAATCTCGCTCAAAATGGTATAATGTGGTTGTGACTCAGCATCTTTTAATTAATTAATCCATTAATATACTCTAGTGTAATGTAGTAATTTTACATGATTTCATCTAGGGAGTATTGTTCTTCACCAGTTGGACCCAAATTGTTGAACCTGATTTCTTGTTTCTACATTTTATAGTTTATTTCTCCTTCTTCACTGTCTGCATTCTGCTATCATTGAGCCTACCTCTAGCACTTGAAGTACATGAGCCCTGACAGAATTCTGGGTATATTTTCCACACATAAAATGGGAATAAAACATGGACATCATGGCATTCATTTTGTCTACTTTGAAACTTATCTATGCCTTTCCTATTTTTGAAGTTCTTCTCCAGGGCCCTGCATGAGATAGAAGTTGTACTGGTTTTCTATTTTCAGAATCTTGTTTATGAATCATCCTACTGTGATCAGTGTGCTTTTCTTGAGGTATTTGAGATACAAGAGATGGCTAAATACTAGGTTTGAATTGGAGTCAAGTATATATTTCAAAAAAGGCAGACATAGTTCATGAGAAATATACCTTCACTGTTAACATCTGTTACACATAATGATGAACATCTGTATAAAATTTTGGTAAAACGTCTTTCAATCATATGAACACCTATTATATTTTCCTTCAAAACTGGTGTTGGGGCTAGGGATATAGCTCAGTAGTACAGTGCTTGCCTAGTATGCACAAGGCACTCACCAAAAACGAAAGCAAAAAACTCATGGAGTTAGTTCTGTACTAAAATGATGTAATAAAAGGCTTTGCTCACATGGCATATTTAGAAAAAGAACATCAAAATCTACTGTCTTGAAATTTACTTTCTATTTAAATTTTATTGATGTTAAAGGTACTTCACAGAATGATGATGGCTCCAGATCCAAGGATGAAACGAGGTAAGAGTTCACTGATTGCCTACCACAGAATGCAGAAGGAAGGATAGAGGGAAAATTAATGTAGATTCATTAAAACTTCAGTTTCACACTGATATAAGAATGATGTCGAAAAGGGTTCAAGATTCAAGGGAAGAAAGGAAATATTTGTGAAATATTGCATAGTTTATCTGATTGCAGCTGTCTAGGGGAGGCCAGAGATAAACAAATTGTTTATTTCCTTTAGTTTGAAGAAAGTGAATAGATTGATACCTTCAAAAGGCAGGAGTTCTGAATCCCAGGGTTATCAGTCAGCCACTAGGCTTTTTTTTTGTCCCAGGAAAGCTGGAGTAGGAATTCTGCAAATGTGTGAAAGTCATCACTAGCTGTGTGGTATCTTGTGGGCCATCATTAGAAGGGGCAGAGACTTGTACCATCTGTTTGCTATTAGCCTAGGTTCAGTACTTTTTTATGTCTGTCTGACTGTAGGTTTGGGCATACGATGTGTTGAAAACCTTGGATCATGTTAATTGATTTAACAAACTTTGTTCATTAGTTATTCTGGAAACTGATAATGGGAGAAAAATTAGGAAAGGAAATGACCCTACTCTTAAAGCTGTAAGCAACATATCTTAAATACAGTGTGCAGTGATTATAAAATTCCTTTGGAATCTTTGTTTTTCCCAAATTGGTTATGCAGTGGGCGAGAAGAAGATGAAACAGAGAGTAGTCAGAATGGGAGAACCAGATAAGTATCATCACAGATCATAAGGGGAAATTATCTAGAATAAGGTGATGCTTTTGTGTCACATGCTGCAAAGGAAGATAGGTGAAGCAATAGAACAAAATGTTGAAGCTGGATTGATGGGTACATGGGAGTTTGTTGCATTAGTCTTTCTACTTTTGTGATATATAGAAATTTTCATAATGAAATATTTTTTATTTCAATTTACCAAGGTTAGGAAAACCAAAGTTTATAAAGTAGTTACTAAATAGAAATCTACCTTTATAGATTCATTTCTGACAAGAATCGTGTCCTATACTAATATCAGTAGAAGTGGATGTATTTTTTTTTTTTCTTTTTGCTGTGCTGAGGATCAAACCCAGAGCCTGGCACACATGGTAGGCAGGCACTCTACCACTGAGCCACATCCCCAGCCAAGAGGTAGAATATTTAGGAATAGTAGTAACTCCTTGCCAGAAAAAGCAATAGAAAAGGTTTTTAAAATTACATAAATAGCCAGGCATGGTGTAATCCCAACTGCTTGGGAGGCTGAGGCAGGAGAGTTGCAAGTTCAAAACCAGCCTCCGCAACTCAGCGAGGCCCTAACTAACTCAGCGAGACCCTATCTGAAAGTAAAACAAAAAAGGCTGGAGATATGGCTCAGTGGTTGAACGCCTCTGGGTTCAATCCCTGGTGCCAAAATTAAAAAACTAAAATAAAAATTACATAAATATATCTGTAGATCACAAGAAAACTTTTTTTTCCAATACTAAGAATTGAAACCAGGACCTTACATAGAGCCTATTGCTGAGCTACATCCCTATCCCTTTTTAAATTTTATTTTGAGACAGGGTCTTGCTAGATTTCCTAGGCTGCCCTTGAATTTGAGATCCTCCTGCTTCAGCTTCCTAAGTACCTGTGTCAAGAGTCATAGGAAAAAGAAAATTAAAATTATCTGGGAGGATAGGAGGCAGTTCTCCTCCTTTTGGATTGGAGAGTTATTCTAGATTTGTGTTTAGTTGATAATTTGATACCGGAATGGGAGTGAGAAAAAAACTAGAAATTCTGATTTGGGAATCATTCTCATAGATAATTGTGGAAATCATGTAATTTGAGATCCTAGGGGCAAATCTGGAGAAGAAAAAGGAGGGAAAGAACAGAATCATAGCAGTGTATATTTAGTGAGTGGGAGGAAGAAGAAAAATTAAAGAAGAGATGATTAGAAGTAGAAATACAAGATTACAAACAACAGAAGTTGAAAAAAATTTTTTAAAGATGGAGTATTAACACTCAAAAGCTGCAGAAAAGAATGTGATTTTAGATTAATAAGCTAGGAAAACAGGCTGTTTGAAAAAACTCAGGTTAGTGCCTTAGATTATTGCAAGACCAAGTAGATTCCAAGCTGATTTTTAAATTGCTTCTCCTCCTTTCCTTCTTTACCCTCCCCACCCAGAGTGAACACAAGTGGTTCAGATGACCCTGAGGATGGAGGGTCTGGTGAAAATAGAAGGGTCAATGGGAACAATTCTCCATCACTTTCAAATGGTGGTTTTAAACCTTCTAGACCTCCAAGACCTTCACGACCACCTCCACCCACCCCACGTAGACCAGGTGTGTATTCTAGATCTAAATACTTTTTTTTGTAAAGTATGTTCTAATTGGGAGTTGATCCTCAGGTAAATTTTGAAGATCTTTTAGGTTAGTTACTTGGCTACCTTTTTACATTTATGATTTTGGCCAAGTGTGATCTTTCTATATGTAACCAAGAAGTACCTTTTCCTTAAGTTTTTCTTCCAGGAGTGATGTTACTAAGTGCTGTGTAGAGAATAAAAATCATATGTGCACAGTATAAAGTATGGACAGTTGGTTGAACTTTTGTAACTGTGACTAAGTATGTCTTTTTTTTTTTTTTTGTAAATCCCCTGGTATTGGGGCTTGAATCAAGGGCACTTAATCACTGGGCTATATATACCCAGCCCTTTTTATTTTTTATTTTAGGAGAAGGTCTTGCTAAGTTGCCCAGGGTGGCCTCACACGTGCAATTCTCATGCCTAAACCTCCTTTGAGTAGATGGGATTATAGGTTTGTGCCAACATGTCTGTCTATAAACATGTTTTACAGTCAAGAATCTGGTTGCTTGTACCCTCTATCCTTTAATGGGACAATTCATAAATGGCAAGTAACCCAACAAAGGTAAATGATAATCAGATTTTAAGGTGAAAATACAAATGAACATATTTCATATAGTAACGATATAAATATCTATAGATCTATCTTTAATATCATCTTTAATTATTTCCCTCTGCTACAGCATGGGTAGGGAATGCAAAATAATAAACCAAATATTGTTAGAAAAGTAGATTGGTTATCCACAAATCATTTCATTAAATGAGTTTGTGTTCGATTATGTCATCCCTTTCTTCATAGATAGTTGTATTAACAATATAATCCAGGTCTTTAAAGTGATATGCCTTTTGTTATAATATTGATAATTTTCTCCAGAAATTGCTTTGTCAACAAATATTTCTTGAAAATGTAGTAAGTGCTCAAAAATATTTGTAGGGCTGGGGTTGTGGCTCAGAGGTAGAACACTTGCCTAATATGTGTGAGGCACTGGGTTTGATCCTCAGCACCACATTAAAAAATAAAATAAAATAAAGGTATTGTGTCAACCTACAACTAAAAAATAAATGTTTTTTTTGTTTGTTTGTTTTTGTTTTTTTTTTTTTAACATTAGTAAACCAGATCAATGGCACATGCCTATAATCCCAGCCACTTGGGAGGCTGAAGGAGGATTTCAAGTTCAAAGCAACTTAGCAAGACCCTAAACAACTTAGTGGCACCCTCTCTTAAAATAAAAAGTGCAAAGGGCTATGGATATAAATCAGTGGTAAAGCACCCCTGGGTTCAATCCCTAGTACCCCCAACCCCAGAAAAAAATTTGTAAGAATACTATTGTTTATCAGATCATTCATTTTACAGCTAGCATTAAAAAAAGTAATCGCTAATCTGTAATGGTATTATAGAAAAGACAGTTAAGGATCTAAAGAATTACTAAACAAACTTATAATACCAAGGAATATTAATGCTTTTCTAGATGATTCTATTTAATTGGTGGAGCACTTGCCTATTATGTGCATTGGTGACATGCCTGTAATTCCAGCTACTCAGAAGCCTGAAGCAGGAGGTTCACAAGTTCAAGTTCAGCAACTTAGAAAGACACTGTCTCAAAATACATATAAAAAGAAAAGGCTTGGGATGTAGTTCAGTGGTAGAGCACTCTGCCAAGTAAATAAGTAAATATTTTTATTTCTTTTGATTTTATGAAGTCAGAATCTATGTCTTGTAATTAATAATGAGACAGGGTTGATGGGAGTTAAGAAGTTATAAACAAGGGGCTGGGGCTGTAGCTCAGTGGCAGAGTGCTTGCCTAGCATGCATGAGGCACTGGGTTCGATCCTCAGCACCACATAAAAATAAGCAATAAAATAAAGGCATTCTGTCCATCTACAACTATAAATTTTTTTTTAAAAAAAAGAAGTTATAAACAAGGCTTTTAAGGGGCAACATTGTCTAGTTCTCATTATTTTCTTCAAGTAATTTTCACCTGCGTACCTGCATCTTAATATTTTGTCAAATACCTTTTTATTTTTTAAACTAAAATTTTATCCTGATATTTAAATTAAGAGAGTATTCTTTTCCTATTTTTTCCTAAATCTTCTGTAGCATCTGTCAATGGTTCACCATCTACCACTTCTGAAAGTGATGGATCTAGTACAGGTTCTCTGCCACCAACAAATACAAATACAAATACATCTGAAGGAGCAACATCTGGATTAATAATTCCTCTTACTATATCTGGAGGCTCAGGTCCTAGGCCATTGAATCCTGTAACTCAAGCTCCCCTACCACCTGGGTAAGTAACTTTTTTTGGTTAACATTTATTTTCTTTAGGATCTTGCATGTCTCATTAATAAAGAAAATAATGCTACATTTTTTTCAGTAACTGTCTTTAAGCAATTGTTACAGATTTTGGTGGAGTCTGGAATTTTAAAAAGCTCACCACATTAGAAATTTGCTACTTTTATTCAAGGAAAAGTAGATGATTTTTTTTTTCTTTAATTGAAGTCTGTACCAAACATGAAAGATTTCATAACATTAATCATAGCATTCTTTTTCACTCAGGTCCTGAGTATAACCTGATCAGATTGAGAGTGACTTTGGTCTAAATAGTCCGACCTCCAGCTTCTTGAGAAAGACAAGTCTAGCAGGGTGCAGTGGCGCACGCCTGTAATCCCAGCGATTTGGGAGGCTGAGACAGGAAAATCATGAGTTCAAAGCCAGCCTCAGCAAAAATGAGGCACTAAGCAATTTAGTAAGACCCTATCTCTAAATAAAATGCAAAATTAGGGCTGGGGTTGTGGCTCACAACCATTGAGCCACAAATAAAAAACAGAGAAAAACAAGTCCTCTTCTAGAGCAGACACGTATGTAGAATAAATCTCATCTATTATATGCCACCCTCAGAAAATGTCATTTTTTGACTTTATTTTATTTCTGTCATATTTCTTTAACAACTAACATGCTTATTTTCCTCAGTTCTATAAAATGGTCATTTAAGGGCAAAAGGCAGTGACAGCATTGAAAAGCCAAACTTACTCACACAAGTGCCCTACCTACCAATCTTTTTAATTTTGTGTTTAAGTTGGGAGCAAAGAGTGAACCAGCATGGGCGAGTTTATTATGTAGATCATGTTGAAAAAAGAACAACGTGGGATAGACCTGAGCCTCTACCTCCTGGGTAAGTGTGTTCATTCAGAAGTATGGATTATACCTGTACTCAATCTTCCCTTCATTCCTATATTTCCTCTTCCTGTCAGTTCTTTCTCTGTCCTCTTTGTTCTGTGGTAGGTGCTAACTAGAAAGAAGAAAACTAGAGAGTTGATTCAGAGAATTATTTTTATTTTCACCCATTTTCCACCTAAAGAGTTCATAGTTATTTTTCTTCAAATTTTCCTGTCTGAACTGTTTACCTGGCTCAGAGCCACAAAGCTTTAGAAGATTAGTTTCTTCAAGAGTAATTATTTATATAGAATAAAATTGCAACTCTTATATATTAAGATACAGTCCCTATCAGATAAAAATTTAACAGATAGTAATTAAATAATTGTAAAATAGTTGAGAATGTTAAGGATATAGTAACACACAATGTTAAGCACTTAACTGGAAGAAAATATATTGTAATCCAGAGAAAATATATTTTAATCCAGAGAAAAGTCTATACCAAACATGAAAAAATATTTAACCTTGCTAGCAGTTTTAAAGAAATGCACATCTCAAAGGTACTATTTTGCTTATTAAATTAGCAGATAATGTCAAGTGTGAGAAATTTTACCTCCTAACACTGCTGGTATAGTGTAAATTTCTTATAGGAAGCTCTGCAACCTTAGTAATTTTCCCTAGGAAATTTATCATAGAGAAATAATTCGAAAGAAGAAAAAATTTTGCTGTATCAAGGTTATTTATTATCTTGTTATTTATAATATTAGAATATTGAAAGACAAACCTAAACAACCATGGAGGTAGAAATCAAGTTACTCTATCAATATTAACTTGATTAAATATAAGTAAAAAAAAAATCAGTTGTATTCTGTGTCTACGTGCTTTTTGATACCTTTGAAAAGCTCTATATAATCATGTCTCTTTTGTGATTACAACAGTAAAATTTCTCTGGCAAAAAAAATGAACTTTTTTTTAATGACTCTTTGAGACTTACTCACTGATGCCTTGCATTTTTTAAATATATATATATATATTTATTTATTTGCGGTTTTTTTTTTTTTTTTTCAATTGTTGATAGACCTTTATTTATTTATTTATTTGCGGTGCTGCGAATGGAATCTATGCCTCACACATGCTAGGCAAGTGTGCTACCTCTGAGCCACAATCCCAGCCTCAATATACCTTGCATTTTGCTGGGTTGTAGCTCATTGGCAGAGCACTTGCCTAGCATGTGTGAGCCACTGGGTTCCATCCTTAGCACCATATAAAAATAAATGAATAAATAAAAGAAAGGTATTGTGTCCATCTACAACTAAAAATATATAAATAAAATACTAATAAATTTTAAGAATTTTTTTAGAATTAAACCTTTAGAAGCATTCCTTTTATGTTTACTTGTAGACTACTTTAAAATATATGAAAGAATTCAGGAAAATCAATATTTTCTCAAGGTAAAATCTTGTATCTGTTTTACAAGTATTTGCTGAAATTTGTTTTTGTTCTGATTTAGCTGGGAACGGCGAGTTGACAATATGGGACGCATTTATTATGTTGACCATTTCACAAGAACAACAACATGGCAGAGGCCAACATTGGAATCTGTCCGGAACTACGAACAGTGGCAGCTACAACGTAGTCAACTTCAAGGAGCAATGCAGCAGTTTAACCAGAGATTCATTTATGGAGTAAGAAACCTATTGATTTGTTGATTATTATGACTGATAAAAGTATTCAGTTTTTAAACCTTTTCTGCTTATCATTTAAAGCACTTATAAAAGAAGGTACAAATAGAAGGGCAGCCCAGTTTTTGCTCTTAATAGGTATTATTTTAAGACCTTCTCTGGACTATTCTATTTATGTGATCTATTCTTTCCTTCTGTAATTTCCTGAGTTTCATCCCCCTTCTGTTTGTTAATGTCAAGAATAAACAAAAAGTGAGAACAACTTAAAATTCATGAACAAAAGAATAGTAAAAATAAACCTAAGTAGTTTGAAAGGAATCTTTTTAAAAAAATTCTGAATTTAGTTCTGCATTTAACTTAGCAGAATATTTAAAGATTTGAATCTCAAAGAACTTGACCTTTAAGTTTTTGTGTAGAATTCATAATGGAGTTGAATCCTTTTTTAACATTTAGAGGTAAAGTTTACCTAACAAATTAATTAATGCGCTGGGAAACTGAATAAATTTGATTTCTTATAGGATTATACTAATTATATTTTTCTGACTTCACAGATACATTATTTTTAGTATAGAGACATTTCCTTTATGGAAACAAATGGTTTAAATTTTATATATTTCTCTTTAGAGTAATGGTATAACAGTAGTGATAAGTACACCAAAATATGTTAATATTTTCTTTGCTGTATGATCTTTGCTGCTTATTTTATAATCTCTCAAGTAATAAAATATCACAGATCTTTTCTTTGAGGAAAGGAAAATAATCTGTTGAGAAATTTGATTCTCATCCATCTACAATGGTGCATGTCTATTATCCCAGCTATTCTGGAGGCTGAGGCAAAAGAATCACAAGTTTTAGGCCAGCCTGGGCAACTTAGTGAGATCCTGTCTCAAAATAAAACAGAATGGGTTGGGATGTAGCTTAGTGATAGAATGTTTGCCTAGCACATGCTAAACCCAACTCTGTAAAACTGAAAGACAGGATGACCCAATTGCCATCACTTCCACTGCCATTGGTAGTATCCCTGTTAGATCCATCAGAGTAAAACAACACATTACATATTCCTCACTAGGCTTTAACTTTTTTTTACTTTTTTCTATATTCCTGCCCATTCTGGATCTTATTATCATAGTCAAATTCACCTTTATCAGAAGCCTTTCCTTCACACCCCAGTTAAGACTAAAACATTTTTCTTTTGAATAACAGTTTTATCTGTCACTTCCAATAGACATATGTCACAATATTCCCCTTACTGGTGGTTTTAAAGGTGAAACTAATTTTTGATTCTTGTCTATCTTACTCATTTTTTTTTCTAGGCTATTTTACATATTCCTTTCTTTCTAAGTTATAATCACCTTTGGTATACCTCGCCACATTTCTTCTAGGTTTGAATGCTTAGCTTGCCTGCCTTCTTTAAAACTAGTTTCCACATGGGTGTCCAGTGGAAAGATCATGCATGGGCTTTGCAGTCACACACATCTGGGTTCGAATCCTGATTCCACAGTTACTTTCTCTATATGACTTTGAGTAAGTTACTTAACCTCATCAAGACTCATTTACTTTATATGTAAAATAGATACATATTTAATTGCTTCAAATATTTTTTTGGTTTATTTTTTTATTTTTTTAGGATTCCATAAAAGTTTTTAATGTGTTCGGCACATATTAGATACCTAGAAATTTTATTTCTCATCTCTTCTCTCCTTCATATCCAAAACTGTAAATGTGCCCTTGACCTCATTTTGGTAGTACGTAATCTTTCAAAACATTGTGGAATTTTTGTTATTGTTGTTGTTTTTATTTTTTGTAATTTTGAAACAGGGCCTCTCTAAATTGCTGAGGTTAGCCTTGAACTTGCGATCCTCCTACCTCAGCCTCCCAGGTCACTGGAATTACAGGCATGTGCCCATGCACACCTGCTCAAAACAATCTTTTTTTTTAAATTTTTAATATGTATTTTTTGGTTGTAGATGGACACAATACTTTTATTTTATTTTTATGTAGTGCTCATGTGTGCCAGGTGAGTGCTCTACCACTGAGCCCCAGCCCCAGCCCTCAAAACAAATCTTTTTTTTTTAATATATTTTTTTAGTTGTAGGTGGACACAATACCTTTATTTTTTATTTATGTGGTGCTGAGGATCAAACGCAGGGCCTCACATGTGAGATGAGAGCTCTACTGCTGAGCCACAGCACCAGCCCTCAAAACAATCTTTTTAAAGATTAGATTTTAAAAATTCTGGAGTACCTACTATGTATACTGACTTATTATAAACTTAATCAATGTAGAATTCACAATCTTTGGAACTTCTTTTTTTCTTTTGGTACTGGGAATTGAATCCAGGGTTGCTTTACCACTTAGCTACATCTCAGACCATTTTATTTTTTTTTTTATATTTGAGACAGGTTCCCAAAGTTGCTGAGGGCCTCTCTTAGTTACTGAGTCTGGTCCCAAACTTGTGATCCTCCTACATCAGCCTCCCAAGTCACTGGGATTATAGGTATTTGCCATTGTGTCTGGCTTGAAACTTTTTTTTATATATTTATTTTTTAGTAAACACAATATCTTTATTTTATTTTTATGTGGTGCTGAGGATTGAACCCAGTGCCTCACGCATGCTAGGTGAGCGCTCTACCACTGAGCCACAGCCACAGCCCCTGAAACTTTTTTTGAGTTATAATTTATACCTCATCACCTCTGTTCGTCTCCCTCCTGTCAAAAAACAACTGACCAATTTTCTGAAATTCTTACTTTTTTTTTATAGTGTTAATAAATCATATAGAATTTAAACAGCTTATTTTACCCTTAAAATAAGCAAAGTTGAAATTAGAATAAATAAATAAATATTTTTATTTTAAAAAAAGCAAAGTTGTGAATTGAATGAATTTAACATTTTTAATTACCTACTTGAAATTGGTGAGAAGGGGGCTATTGCTAAGAAATAATCTGTTTATTGGGTGAATTAAGTGGTCTTTGGTCACTACTATTCTGATCCTAGTTAAAAGATAGTAGATTTTCATACACTCAGCATTTTAAAGCTCAAAATTGATGTGACTGATGATGAACCATTGTGTAATGATTTTTCCTGGCTTATGTATTCACGGTGCATGTTTCCAGTTGATCTATCCAAGGAGAGCCAGTGGAATAAACTAGTGTTTTAAAGAATTATCAGAACAGTTTGTCATATGCCAAAATTTTCAGACCCAGTCTATGACATGGCCTTTCTACTCTTAAATCCTTTTCATAACTGCATCTATAAAGAGTAACAAGTTTTGTTCTCGATATCTTTGCCAAGAGCTGTTAAATCAGAAGTGCAATATCTTTCTTATTCTTTAAACTTAGGAATTAACCTAGTTTCTGTAATAGGTCAGTGACCTGGAGAAAAAAATTTAAAAAATATAGTGGTCTCTAGATTGAGATGTAAGAGACCCAACCCAACTGAATGTAGTGTTAGAACTTTGAATGGATCCTGGTTTTAACACATAAGCAACCAGACATTTACTTGTATTAAGTACTAGATCATTAAAAATTTAACATTGCTATTTTGCGAGGTGTAATAATGATCTTGAGATTACATAAGAATGTATCCACAAATTTTAGAAAGGCATACTAAAATATGTAGGCTGAAATGATGTTTGATTTTTGCTTTAGCAAAGTATAAGAAAAAAAGTTACATAAAGAAATGTGGCAAAGTCTTGCTAACTCTTGAATCTTGGTACTGGGTATAAGGAGTTCATTGTCATATCTTACCCTTTTTTTTTTTTTTCCATAGTAAAATTATTTTCAAAACAGTTAGAGCTTGCCTCATGTGCACAAAGCCCTGGGTTCAATCCCCAGCAACACACACACACACACAGCAATTAGAATCTATTATTTGTTTACTTGTCTTGTCCTACTCAAGAGGAAAGGACTTAATCGAGTCTTAGTGAATCACCACAAAATTATTGCCTATTATACATTAAAATTAAAATACAATCGTTAAACCTGTAATATATGACTTTTACTTCTCTTTTTTCTAAAGGTTGACTCCTTCAAAGGTTATTTTATCTAGTCAAACTATGCTGTTCACCAGTGTGATAATCACAAACAAAATTTTAAGGTCTTCCATACATTTAGTTCGAGGCTCATTAGCACCTTCCAGTTGGAGTTCTTTCTTTTACTTATCTGGCAGCTTGGTCTTTCTGCTTCCCAACTCTTTTCAAAATTCTTTATGTCTCATGTTCTTTGGTGATCTTCTGGTTTTGAGTACATATACAATATTTTTCTCAGCCATCTGATGACTCTGGGTACTGGTATTATACTGACTTTTGGGGATTTGTATGCATTTCTAAATTTTATATTACTAATATAGTAAAATTTGCAGCAAAAAAGATAAAAACTTGGTCGTACGGGGGGTGAGAATTATATATTTGTGTAGTATTTCAATTTCAGATAATTTTAAATGTTACATGATGTTTGCCAAGTTTTGTGTTTTGTATGTTGGTATTTATTAAACAATATATCGCACTTCCTATGATGTGAACTCTGTAAGAATGTTATGTTGCACATTACCAAAGAATGCGTATTAGAACTCAATGACAACTCATATTTGCTCTGAAATGATCTGTTTAATTTAATTTTTCTTTCTTTCTTTCTTTTTTTTTGGTTCTTTGTAGAATCAAGATTTGTTTACTACATCACAAAATAAAGAATTTGATCCCCTTGGTCCTTTGCCACCTGGATGGGGTAAGTCCCATGAGTTTTTTTCATTAAATTCTATCATTTTAAAAAATTAGGTATTTATAGATGATATTCTCTCTTATTTGAGTAAATACCTGGGAGACTTTTCAGGTACATCTATCTGTTTAATTGATGGTGCCAAATAAGCATTAAATTTTATTCAGGTTGTAAATTGACTTTTTCGTTGTAAGAAAATTTTATTGGAATGTAGAATTATTTTGCTCTTCTAACGTTTATAAAAATATTGATTACTCAGCAATCAAAAGGGAATGGAATACTGATAACAGCAATCTGGGTGGACTACACAGGCATTATGTTTAGCAAAGTCAATATTCATAAGATTATATGCTTTTATTATTTTGTTTTTTTATTATAATCAAATATTTGAAAGTAGATACTTTATAAGGAAGAAAGGTTTTTTTAGCTCATAGTTCTAGAAGTTCAAGGGCATGGCATAGTCTTCTGCTTGGCTCTGGTGAAGACTTCAAGTCAGATAGCATAATAATGGTGGGAGGTTATGTGAGAGAGGGTAATTATGTGGTAAGACAGGAAGTTAGAGTGAGACTTTAAATGCCTTCCAAAGGCACACTCCCAGTGACCTTACCATTTCCCACTGGTCTCTGCCTCTTAAAGGTTCACTCCCTCCCAGTATTGCCACACTGAGTACCAAGCTTCCAACACAAGAACCCTTGTAGGACACACTCAAACCATATATAAACTTTAACAATGCTGTATGTTTTAATTCATACAACATTCGCAAAATCACAAGACTAAGCCGGGTGCAGTGGCGTGTGACTGCAATCCCAGAAGCTCAGGAGGCCGAGGCAGAAGGATCATCAGTTCAGAGCCAGCCTCAGCAAAAGTGAGGCACTAAGCAACTCAGTGAGACCCTGTCTCATTTTAAATAAAATACAAAATAGGGTTGGGGATGTGACTCAGTGGTTAAATGCCCCTGGGTTCACTCCCCAGTACAAAAAAAAAAAAAAAAATCACAAAACTAGATCTGGACAACAGATTAGTATTTGTCAGGAATAAGATAGGTGAAAGTTGGGTACAAATACAAGAGATAATGCTAAGGGGGTTCTTACATGATGTTGGAAAAGTTCTGTCTTGATTGTGTTGATGAATGCGTAAATCTATACATGGGACAAAAATATATAGAAATTTGTATTCATCTACATGGATTCAGCTTTAACAAATGGTAAACATTGAAAATTCCATTGTTAGGTATGATGTATCAATGTCTTAGTTTTAATATTTAATTTAATACTTAGATAAGATACCACCATTGGGAGAAACTGGTTAAAGGGTACATTGAGATTGAGGTTCTGTACATTTTTTATAACACAGTAATAATTCAAAGTAAAAAACTTAAAAACACATTGGTCTTTGATCACATCAGTCTTTCTCCTTTGTCCTCCTCCTCCTCCTTTTTTTTTTTTTTTTCAATACTGGGGTTGGGGGGAAAACACCTTAAGAGTACTACTGAACTACATTTCCAGCCCTTTTTATGTTTTATTTTGAGACAGGTTCTTGCTAAGTTGCCTACACTGACCTTGAACTTGTGATCCTCCTGTATGAGCCTCCTGATTCATTGAGATCACAGTCATGCTCAACCATGGTCACATTGGTTTTTTTTTTTGGGGGGGGGGGGGCAGGTACCGAGGATTGAACTCAGGGGCACTCAACTACTGAGCCACGTTTCCAGCTGTGTTTTGTATTTTATTTAGAGATAGGATCTTACTTACTGAGTTGCTTAGCACCTGGCTTTTGCTGAGGCTGGCTTTTTAATTTTTTTTTTTTTTTTTTAGTTATAGATGGATACAATATCTTTGTGTGTATGTTTGTTTGTTGGTTTGTTTGGTGCTGAGGATTGAACCCAGTGCCTCACGTGCGAGGCAATCACTCTACCACTGAGCCACAACCCCAGCCCCCTGAGGCTGGCTTTGAACTCCTGCCTCAGCCTCCTGAGCCACTGGGATTACAGGTGTGCGCCATCTCACCAAGCCACATTGGTTTTTCTAAAGTGCATTTCAGAATTTGGTGGGGTTGGTGTTACCTTATAAAACAATGGAAGGGGAATACATAAGGGTGGCAACTTGGTGCCCTACACCATGGAGCACATGAGTATGCCCTGTTATTGGTACACTTAATACCTTAGTTATTAAAACTTATTTAATAGACTTTAAGATGTGTCTACCCTACCAGATTCTGTTTTGTAGTGTAAAATAATAGGTAGAGTCTTCTGGCTCTATTGGATCCTCAGAGTGGTCAATGTGTGGTTGATATGATGAACTTTAGATGAGGGCTGTTGCCCTTATGCTTGTTGAACTTGACCTGTCAGATTGCATTCCTAGACATGAATTGTTTGCCCATATTTGTTTAAAGAGTTGTATGTCCATGTTACAGAAAGAGAAATTGATGAAATAAAAGGAAAAGGAATATCTGAAGGTTATGTGTTTTATCTCCCTAATTATATTGCAGAAAAACTAAGACCTGCCTTGGGATGATGGTCAGAAACAGACTTTTTCTCTGGAACACCTCTTGCTCATAGAAGCCTGAAATGTGCACTGTTTTGCCTTTATTTATTTTTTTTAAATGTTTTTATTAGTTGTGGATGGGCCTTTATTTTATTTACTTATTTTTATGTGGTGCTGAGAATCGAACCCAGTGCTTCAAACATACTAGGCGAGTGCTCTACCACTGAGCCACAACCCAGCCCCCTGTCTTGCCTTTATTAGAATAGCTTTTCTGTAAACAGGTTCTTGCCTTCTGTATTGATCATTAACTCAATCATCTAGATCTTTTTCCTTTTTCATTTAGCCAACAACACTTTCTTAATACTGCCTCTAAAGACCCAGCTTATTGCTAGGTGCAGTGGTGCATACCTGTAAGAGGCTCTGGAGGCTGAGGCAGGAGGATCACAAGTTCAATATTAGCCCCAGCAACTTAACAAAACTCTATCTCAAGATAAAAAAAACACTGATTAAAAAAATTGGGAGGTGGCTCTGTGGTTAAGTGCCCCTGGTTTCAATTCCTGGTATCCAGCTTCTTGCCCTGCTAATATGTTGCTGTTTCACTATCTGCATATATTTGGGTTTTACACTTCTAAAGTTGAAGTGCTGCGTCCTTTCCCTATATGAGTTTATGATTATCCTACAATTCAATCTGAGCACTGCTTTGTGATTCTCTGCTTTTGGGGCCCATACCTTAGTTTTGGAACTGGTCATCGTGTATCAGATGAGGAGACGAAACTGACCTTCAATATTGTCCCAGGAAATAGAATCCCATCTTATGCACTGTGGTTTCTTTCTGAGATTGACAGCATTATTTTTGTAAAAGAATATATATTTAAGTCCAACTTTTTATGCGATAAGTTGAGACATTACCATCAGGCAGCAAAGAAATTTTAACACGTGCACACACCATAGGGCCTAGAGAAGAAAGAATGCCTTTGGTTCAACAATGCAGTCTAATGTAGGGCTCTGTACACTCATCAAGTATAAAGACACTTTCTCATTTTCATAGTTATGAAACACTACATAGAGTAGCAATAAGCTTTTGCTTTTCACTGTTTTATTCATCAAATCAGGAAGTGCTCTGAACTGCATTCAAGTTGATGTTTAGTAATTTCAGTATTATTTATCATCTGTTTTTTTCAACAAAGTAAGAAATCAGCTCCACAGCCCCAGTACTTCCTCTCATTAAGTAGATGAGCCTTCAGTTTGCAAGTGAAAAGTTTTGTACCTTTGAAATTGTTTTTCACAGCCTTTTCCAAAAAATGCTGATATCAGTAGTATATACTTAGAACATACATAGGAAACAAGTTAACTTATCTTGTTTTATGATAGTTTTTGAAGGGAAAAAATCTCTAGTGTGACACCTGAATTTACATGGCAGATAAAAGATGAATATATGCTCAATTGTGTACTTGGGTAATCATTTGGTGAGGCTAGAGATGTAGTTCAGTGTAGAGTACATGCTCAGTATGTAGGAGGCCATGGGTTCAGTCTGCAGTAAGACACACGTATATATTGCATGTTGTGTGTGTGTGTGTGTGATTTACACATTTGGATACATATTTTTTGAGCAAGAAAGATAATTTTAGATTCTACAAGTACATTTTTTTGAGATTTAAATTCATGACTACCAAGGCATGAACTTACCTTGCTATCATGTAACATTAGTACAAGCTGTAAGTGATTATTTTTGCCTTAGTAACAGGCTTAGAGTTGGTGACATGTTTCTACACTTAAGATGCCTTCACCAGTGTTAATAATATCCAGAGTGGGTCACCAGTCACAGAATCTCATTTTTTGTATACTGTGCATAACTGGAGTTCTATTTATGTTTTAGGCTTAACTGATATAGAAAGTAGCTGAAATGTCAGAAGTGGATTCTTAATACTCACTAGTGTATCCATTGTAACCCATAACATCACTGTTACTTGATATCAGAGAATCAATGCTGCAAATATAATTGTTACCAAATACTAACTTAATAAGTTATAATCTGTTTGTTTGTACAATAAAGAGAAGACTCATTCTATAATATGTTGTTTAAAGAAAGATCCAAAGGATCTAAATGTGTTATTTGGAAAATGGATATCAATTTAGTATTCATTTTGAGGCATGTAGTCAAAGAAATTCAGATACAGGAATAATCCCATCTTTTGAAGAATTAATTGGTAATAAAACAGAAATTATAGTTTAAAGATAGCTTAATATTGAATATTAATAGGGAAAGCTCAGGCAGGGGCAATTTTGAGGAATGGGAATAAGAAAACAAGAATAGTAAAGCAAGAGGCAGGTGGGGAATAAGCAGCAGGGTTTTTTTGTTTGTTTTTCTTTTCTTTTTTTTTTTTTTTTCTTCAGTGGTATTGGGTACTGAAACTATGGGCACTCTACTACATGTCCAGCCCTTCTTATTTTTGTGACAGGGTCTAGCTAAGTTGTTCAGGCTATCACCAAACTCAGGATCCTGAATAGCCTCCTGAATAGCTGGGATTATAGCTATGTGACCCTGTGCCCAGCAAACAATAACTTTAGATGCAATAATTAAATAATTGAGCCCTACTGCCCAGCTTGTATATAGAAAGTTACAATAAATATTCAAGATTTTGGAACTGGTTATATTAAGGAACAAAATCATTAAAAAGAATCAGTGTAAGCTGAGTGTGTAGCTGTGTGGTAAAATGTTTGCCTAGCATACACAAGGCCCTGGATTTTATTTCCAACACAGCAAAATAATTAAGTTAATAAGTAGGTATGTAGAAAGAAATAAATAATGTCTATCTTAATTGAATAATGCCAAACATATACCAACAAAACAATTAAGTTATTACCCTAACCCCCAACTCCCACTTATGTTTAAGAAATGAGGTGATATAGTAATGTAGTGTGAGAAAAAAATCTCTGTAGATCTGAGTTTCCATATTATCTCTACTTCATAATTATGGGGGTTGAGGGTAGGTCACTTAACCTCTCTAAGTTTTCTTTATCTTCAGAATAAAAATAAAACCATCTGCCAGGCATGGTGGTGCACACCTGTAATCCCAAGGGCTTGGGAGGCTGAGACAGAAGGATTGTGAATTCAGAGCCAGCCTCAGCAAAAGCAAGGTGCTAATAAGCAACTCAGTGAGACCTTGTCTCTAAATAAAATACAAAAGAAAAAAAAAAAAGGGCTGGGGATGTGGCTCAGTGGTCAAGTGCCCTTGAATTCAATCCCCAGTACCCGAATGAATGAATAAAACTTGTCTACTTCTTGGAGCTATTAAGAATAAAATGAGGGCTGGGCAATGTGGCTCAAGCCGGTGCGCGCTCGCCTGGCATGCGTGCGGCCTGTGTTCGATCCTCAGCACCACATACAAACAAAGATGTTGTGTCCGCCAAAAACTAAAAGATATTAAAAAAATTCTCTCTCTCTCTAAAACTGATCATTAAAAAAAAAGAATAAAATGAGGGCTGGAGTTGTGGCTCAGTGGTAGAGCAACTTGCCTGGCATGTATGAGGCCCTGGGTTCAATCCTCAGCATCATATATAAATAAATAAATAAAATAAAAGATCCATTTACAACTAAAAATAAAAATAAAAAAAAGATTTTTTTGAACTAAAGGTATGGCTTAGTGATAGAGTGCTTGCCTAGTTGTGTGAGGCCCTGAGTTCAGTTCCCAACACCACAAAAAATTAAAAAAATATCATATGTAAGAAGCTAAAAAACTTATTTTGCTGCTATTGGTTTGACTGAACTGAAGGGTCCGGTGGGTAGGACATTGATTTAAGTCTGGCTTCTGGGATGTAATTTTATTTCTATAACTTTAGTTAATTTGTATTTAATAGTCAAAGAATAAATTAAACCTTTTAAAAGATGTGATACTACAAAATCAACAATGCAATGATATGGGCAAATTCAGTTCATTTTGTCTTAGTTTCAGGAAAAAGACTATGCCAACATTAATGTTTCGTTTTGGTTTTTTGTTTGTTTGTTTGTATAATAAAGAGAAGAGAACTGATAGCAATGGCAGAGTATATTTTGTCAACCACAACACTCGAATTACACAATGGGAAGACCCCAGAAATCAAGGGTAAGAACTTTTAGTTACTAGTGTATTTATAACTTTTTAAAAATTGCTTACCTATTTCTGACTCAGTTGCATATTCTTTCCTCAAAGGCCTTAAACATTGATCTCCTTTCTATTCAGTGGAGAAAATTTTTTACTTTCATGTAGTGAAAAGCTTAAGAGTTTCTTGAAAGTCTGAAAAATACTCCTTATACATGAAAATAGTCTTATGTTCAAATATTCACTTCTATATATTTATTAGTAGTAAAATCAGATGAGTAAGTATAAAGCAGGGGGGCTGGGGTTGTGGCTCAGTGGTAGAGTGCTCGCCTAGCATGCATGAGGCACTGGGTTCAATCCTCAGCACCACATAAATGTAAAATAAAGATATTGTGTCCACCTAAAACTTAAGAATAAATATTAAAAACAAAAGTATAAAGCAGGGTTTCTTAATCTGTGATTACTGGATAAAATTTGGGGTATGTGTCTTACAGGGGAAAAAATATGTCCTCAGTTTTACTAATCTTTACCTAAAATTTAGTATTTCCTTCTATTATGAGTATAAGGCTATGACCTAGTAGAATTAGCAGTGCCTAGGACTTTGCCACCAGAAGAAATCACAAGGTTTGAAAAAGCATTTTGTGATTGTTGTAGATATCTCAAAATATTCTTTGCATACATCATTATAAGTATTATAAGCCAGGCATGTTGGCGCATGCCTGTAATCCCAGTGGCTCCAGAGGCTGAGGCAAGAGGATTGTGAGTTCAAAGCCAGCTTCAGCAAAAGCAAGGTGCTGAGCAACTCAGTAAGACCCTGTCTCTAAATAAAATATAAAATAGAGCTGGGGATGTGGTTCAGTGGTCAAATGCCCCGAGTTCATTCCCTGGTACCAAAACCCAAAAAAACAAAAACAAAAAAAAACCCCAACTTAAGGCTGGGGGTAGAGTTCAATGGTAGAGCACTTGCCTACTATTTGTGAAGCCCTTCGTTCAAAGTTTTAATAACTACACCAAAGTGGCACCTATGAGTACATTGCTAATCTTAGTAACATTACATAATATAGTCTGTGTATTATTTTACTAGGGCCATTGCAACAAACTCTATCACAAATGGAGTAGCTTAAACAACAAATTAATGTCTTTTAATTCTGGAGGCTAGAACCCAAGAGATCAAGGTGTTAGCAAGACCATGCTTCCTCTGCTATCACTAGGGAAAGATCTATTTCAGACCTTACTTCTAGTTTCTTACAATTCTTGGCTTGTCAGCATTATTTCAGTGTTCACATGGCTTCCTGTGTATACATTTCTGTTCACAAATTTCCATTTTATATGAACACTTGTTCTTCAGCGCCAGTGACCACCCCCCCACACCATATGCCAATATGACATCATCCTAACTGAAACATCTGCAATAACCCTTTATCCAAATAAAGTCATATTCCAGGGTACTGGTAGCTATAACTTAAGCATTTGGAGGTGGGACACATTCAACTTGTAACAGTCTATAAAACCATTCATTTATCAGATTGCCAAATGTTTCCATTATGCAAGGAATTTGGCAAATTGTACAATCAGTTTAGATAGTAACCACAAGTTTGCGGGTCCCCAAGACAATTCCCCCTTCAGACCAGCTGCCTACAAATTCTCACTAGAGATACTCAGAATTCATTCATATCTACACTAACCTTATACTCAACAACCATTTTTGTCATAAAGAAAGAATATAAAATAGAACCAGCAGAAGGAAGAGATTTATAGAGCAGAGTTTGGGAGGGTTCTAGATACCCAACAGTGTGGAACAATATATATTGATGTTCGTGTTTTTTTTTTAAGTTGTAGATGGACACAATACCTTTATTTTATTATTTTATTTATTTATATGGTGCTGAGGATCGAACCCAGTGCCCCACACATGCAAGGCAAGCATGCTACCAGCCCCCGATGTTCAGTTTTGAACAGGATGTCTCTGGTATCTAGAATTTTTATTTGGGTTTGATCATATTCTTCTCTCTTGGCTGACATCTTTGTCTTTATCCCTACCTGGAGGTTTGGGATAAGACCTATTTTCAAGTTCCTCCTGAAGTCAAAACTGATGTAGTATGTCCCAGGTCTCTATCATCAGATCACCTCCCAGTAGTTGAGGACAAAGACCAGACTTCTCTTGGGAATGATTAATTCCTCATGACACGTGTTTCAATAATTTTTGTTCTAAAGATATTCTTTAAATGTAATATATATATATATATATTGGGTACCAACAGATGACATTGTTTTTTATGGAATTATTATGTTTAATTTGAATATATTCAATTACATGAAAAAATAATTAAGATTTTCAAAGATGAGATGTTTTTAATTTTAATTTCTTTCAAAAATTTTATCTTTGATCTGGGGATGTATCTTGGTTGTTATGTACTTGCCTAGCATGCACAAAGCCCTGTGTTTCATCCCCAGCACTACCCCCCCCCCCCCCCCCCCGCCAAACAAATATATCTAAGGATAGAATTGCATAAATCAAGCTAGGCACAGTAGTGATTCCTATTACTCAAGAGACTAAAGCAGAAGATGGCAGGTGTAAGGCCAGATTGAGCATCTAAGTGAGATCCTATCTTAATATTAGAAATAAAAAGGAATAGGGACATACAGCTCAGTGATAGAACACTCTGGTTCAGACTTTGGTACTGAGAGAATTGAGCAAGTCATCTTTCTATAATTTTTTCACCCTTGATCTTTTAAAGATTTAGAGCTAAATAGTAGAATAATATTTCAATAAGTAGCACAACTGACCTAGTTCTTATTTATTTTGTTTTCAAGACAACTTGTTACTGAGCCTATCCTTCAACCAAAATTTCAACAAAACTTTTTTGTGTTTTTAATAATCTATTTTATTTGATATTTGTATTCAATTATATGCATACAGCTAGATATTCCTAATCTTTTGATGTAGTTTACAAAATGTGGTTCGAAACAGTGGTTTTTCTGAAGTATAGCCCTTTATTTTGCAGACGTACGCTTGAGGAAAGTGACACTATTAACAGCAATAGTGGCTAAATGCCTAAATGACTCCAGATCCTCCTGTTGTTCTTTTCTGATGTGAACTTGTACATTTCTATTGTTCTTTTTTGTACCAAACCCACCAGATGAGAAAATTGAATCTGTAAAATAGAAAAAAATGAACGAGCACATATGGATAAATATTGCAACATTTATTACACCTAACCAGCTAAAAAGACTGGTTACCATTATGTCAGATACACAAATAAAGACAACAAAAGAGGTATTCCATAGTTCCCTATTTATTCTAGTATAATATTTTGAAATGTAAAAATAAAAGTTTTAGGTTTATTTATTCTAATACCTCACTTATTTTAAGTATTAAAATTAAGTCAGTTATCTAATTCCTATTCCAAATTTCATATAATATTTGCAAGGGGAGGAGTTGTTGTCAAACACAAATACTGCAACATGTGTTAGATGCTCTGCTAGTTGTATAAATAGGAAGTACTTTGAGATGCCCAGGAAAGAGTCATCAATCTCTTGTAGTAGGAGGAATAATAATAATTACAATATGAGGCATTACTCTATGCTAAACGTCTTACTTACCTCATTCCTCATATAATCTTATTAATAAACATTGTTATTTTCATTTTATGAATAAAGAAAATTAAGTTTATTTTATTTTTGGAACTGGGGATTGAACTTAGGAGTACTTTACCACTGAGCCTCATCCCTAGCCCTTTTAAATTTCTATTTTGAGACAGGGTCTTGCTAAGTTGCTTTGGGCCTTGCTAAATTGCTGAGACTGGTCTTGAATTTGCCATATTCCTGCCTCAGCCTCTTAAGTCCCTGGTATTACAGATGTTTCACTGCACCCAGCAAAAGAAGATGGAGTTTAGAGAGATTTAGTTGTTTTCCTGGTATCACAAATTTTCAAGATATAAAGATAGGTGTTAAAGAAATAGAAATACTTAATTTAAAAAATTTTTTTGAGTTGCCTTAACAAAAGAATAATATAGATTTGGGCCAAAGGCTTCACTTAGAGATGAGAGAGATCATGTCTTGACTGGGAAAATGATGACTAGCCATATTCCATGAAATCACAGGATTTATGTAAAGAATTTAGAAGTTTGGGTGCAGAGAAAATGTAAAAGGGAACATTCAAGGCCAAGGTATAGAAACTGAGTAAATGCCAGGTGGAAGAATATAGAACTTAACATTGAAAGTGGTATAACAGTGCTAGCACTTTAAAGGAAGAACTAATTTGATGCAATCTCTTATTTGAGAAAGATACTCTGAAGGCATATCAATATAAGAGCCAGAGCAGAATGAGACTAGAGGGAGGAAAACCCATTTAGGTGACTGTTCAGGATGTTTAAACAAAAGACAATTAAAGCCCAGAGTAAGAATGGTTGTGGAGGTAGAAAATAGGGATGAAGATAAAGACTTTTAAGACAGAATGGGCAGAACTTATTTAATCATGAGATGTTTAAGGCGGGTTATGAAGTAGATAGAAGAGCGTAGACCAAGAATATGGTGGAAAATTGAGGGGTGATTGAGTGGTTTTTAATGTTAAGTTCTAATGATGTGTTTAACGTATACATAGGATGTCCAAATAGAGTGTCTAGTGCACAACTGAAAATCTTAGACCAAATTGTTTTCTAAAAGATTTTATACTACATTAATATATATTTATGGATATTTTTAGTTTCTGTACTTGACAAATCAACAACTCTTTAAAAATCTTTGTTTATATTTTTTCTCTATGTTTTGTAGTCAGTTAAATGAAAAGCCGTTACCTGAAGGCTGGGAAATGAGATTCACAGTGGATGGAATTCCATATTTTGTAGACCACAATAAAAGAACAACTACCTATATAGATCCACGCACAGGAAAATCTGCCCTGTAAGTATTCCAAACATTGTAGATTGAAAATAAAATAAATTTCTCTGTTACTGGTAATTGAATCCAAGGGCATTCTACCACTGAACTATATTTCCAGACCTTTTTTATTTTTTTATTTTGAGACAGGGTCTTGCTAAGTTACCGAGTCTCAAACTTGTCATTTTCCTGCCTTGCCTCTTGAGTTATTGGGCTTTCAGGCATTCACCATTGTGCCTGATAATTAATTTCTCAGATTTTGACAAAGATCTGAATTAGCAAGGAAGGGAAATCTCACTATTTCTTTCCCCCACCCCCACTGTGAGTGCGTGCATGCGTGCGTGCGTGTGTGTGTGTGTGTGTGTGTGTTTATTTTAAGCATTGAATCTACCACTGAGTTTTCTAAGCATTGAATCTACCACTGAGTTACAACCCCAGCCCTTTTTATTTTCTTTATTTTGAGGCAGGGTTTCACTAAATTGCTCAGCTTACCCTGAATTTAGGATCCTCCTGCCTTAGCCTCCTGCCTTAGCCTCCTGTGTAGCTCAGATTATAGGCGTGCACCACAATACCCACCTTCTTACTGTTTCTTGAGTTGGCTTGCCAATAGAGCTCTATGTACTGTCCTTTGCCCATTTTTTTTTTCTTTGCTCATTTTTTAATCAAGTCATTGGGGGTTTGGGGTTACATTTTAGTTTTCTATATATAATCATGAATTGATTAATGATGAGGATACATTCTGAGAAATGAATCATTGTATGAACAAAAGAGTATACTTAGACAAACCCACATGCTTTCTGTGAATCTAGGCTGTGTGGTATACACACCCTACCTAGATGATGTAGTCTTTTGCTTCTGGGGCCATGATGAACAGATTACCCAATTAAATCAAGTGCATAATAAAATGATGTAATCAAGAGACACAGTAAACACAAGATATGTGAGGCTGCTGCCAGCATAACATGTCATACTATTTTACAGTAAACTCTTTGTTTTTATATAACTAGGAGTACAGTTAAAATAATGATTGAAGGCATCATTTTATACTGTTTTGTTATTGGTTATACATTAAATAGTAACATAGTTTTTTATTATCATTATCAAGTATTATGCACTATGCATAATAGTATGTGCGTAATAGTATGTGTATAATAGTATGTGCAATATTTTACTATGACTGGCAGTGCAGTAAGTTTGTTTATACCAGCATCACCTCAGACGTGAGTAATATGTTGTGCTACGATATTAAAGATGGCTGTGGCATTATGAGACCATTATCTTAAATGTGGTCTGTCATTGACTGAAACATCATTATGCCATGGGTGACTATATTCTGAATATTAATTCCTTATTAGATACTTGGATTAAAAGCATTTTCTCCCATTTTTACTTAGGATAGTGCTCTTTGATGATACACAAAAGCTTGAAAATCTGATAAAGTCCATTTTGTCTATATTTTGGTGCCCATGCCTTTGGTGTCATTCCCAAGAAATTATTGCCAAATCTAGGTTTTTTCTTCTCCTAGGTTTCCCTCTGAGATTTGTAGAGTTAGAGCTTGTACATTTGGGTGTTTGATTCATTTTGAGTTAATTTTTGTATATGATATTGGATAAGGGTGCAATCTGAATTTTTTATGCGTGGATATCCAGTTTTCCTAGCAGCATTTGTTAAAAAGGCTTCTTCTTTTGTTACTTAGTCTTGGCATCTGTATTAGCCAGCTTTCCATCACTTTAATAAAATACCTGACATAGGCTACTTAGTACAGAAATTTATTCCACTCAGTTTTGACCAGAGTCTAAACAGGCTGAATGAGGACCGCCACTTGCCTACATTACCTCATGGCAGATGGTAGTATATCATAGTGGAAGAATATGTAGAAGTAATTGGTCATCTTTTTTTTTAATATTTATTTTTTAGTTGTAGTTGAACACAATACCTTCATTTCACTTGTTTATTTTTATGTGGTGCTGAGGATCGAACCTAGGGTCTCCACATGTGAGGCAAGTGCTCTACCACTGAGCCATAACCCCAGCCCAAACGGTCATCTCTTGAAGTGGGTAGAAAGAAAGTACAATCTGGGTCCCACAGTCCCCCTTGAGAACACACCCCTAATGATGTAATGATCTCCTAGTAGGTCTAACATTTTAAAGATCCAGAGCAACTCCTAATACCATTACCCTGGGGATATTCAACATCCAAACCATGGAGGCGGCCTTGTCAAAAATTATTCAATATGTTGGTGAGGGTTTCTTTTTGGCTTTCCATATTCCATTCTATTGGTCTAAATGTCTGTCTTTATGCCAGTACTATGGCTCTGTAGTATGTTTTAACATTAGGAAGTATAAATCCTCTAGCTTTGTTCTTCCTTTTCAAGATGATTTTGGCTATTGGGATTCCTTGATATTGTGTACTAATTTTAGGATTTTTTTGGTCCTATTTCTACAAAGATGTTCTTATTATTTTGATAGGAATTACATTGAATCTATAGATCTGTTTGGTAGCATGGTTATTTTAACAATACTGATTCTTCTAATCCATGAAATGTGGATATTGTTCCATTTACTTGTGTTATTTTTAATTTCTTTCAACAGTATTTTGTAGTTTTTGATAGACAAGTCTTTTACCCTTCATTTCATTCCTGAGAATTTTATTTTTGCTGCTATTGTAAAAGGAATTTTTTTTTTTTTTTAATATTCTACTACTTTTCTGAATTTGCTTATTCTAACAGCTTTTTTATGTGGAATCTTCAAAGTATTTCCTGCACAAAAGATCAAATCAATATACAGGCACAGTGATGCACACTTGTAATCCCAAAGATTCATGAGGCTAAGGCAGAAGGTTTGCCAAGTTTAAGGCTTGTCATGGTAACTTAGTGAGACCCCATTTGAAAAATGAAATATAAAAAGGGCTGGGGGTGTAGTTTAGTGGTGGAACACTCTTGGGTCCCAGTATCAGGAAAAGGAAGAGACAAAAAAGTCATATCATCTGCAAACAGATCATTTTACTTCTTCCTTCCCATTTTGAATGCCTTTGATTTCTTTTTCTTGCCTAATTGTTTTGGCTGTAACTAACAATAGTATGTTGATCAGAAGCGATGAAATTAGGCATCCTTATATTATTTCTAATCTTAATGGAAAAGCTTTCATTCTTTAAGCATTCAATGTGATGTTCATTATGAGATTTTCACATACAGCCTTTATTATGTTGAGGTAGTTTCCCTCTATTCCTTATCTGTTGAGTATTTTTTATCATGAAAACGGTATTGAATTTTGTTTAATGCTTTTTCTGCATCAGTTGAGATGATCATGTGGGTTTCTCCTCTTCATTCTGCTAATGTGGCATATTACATTTTTTTATATGTTGAACTGTCCTTTCAGTCCAAGAGTAAATCCTACTTTATCAACTTCATAAAAAGGATTAAAATGCTAATCCTTTTAATATTTTGCAAAAAGTTTTTGCTAATATTTTCTTGAGGATTTCTGTATCTGTATTGGTAAGAGGTATTTGTTTATAGTTTTTTTTTAGCGTTTATGTGACTTTCTTATCAAGGCAGTTCTGCGTGCCCCCTCCCATTATCATTTACTTTTATACTTATGCATATTAAAAGCTTTCATATTTAAAGCAAAAACTGAGAAATGAGGCCAATTGAGTGTTAATGAAATTGCAGAGATAATTTATATGGAAATAAATAAATAGATATTGTTATCATTCATTTTAGTTATAATTAAGTTTGGGTACATATAACATGAAAACCCAAAACAATAGTGGCTTATAAAAGTAGAAATATATTTATCTCCATCTTTTAATTTTTTATTTTCATGTGTATGCCTATGTAGACACATAGATGGTTAGTAATAATAAGTAAACTGAAATATTCAAATAACCCAAAAGAATGCAGAAAAGGACAAACAGAAAAACAAAAAAAATACAAGAAAAAAAATAAACAATAAATGTTAGACCTAAACCTAAACATCTCAATAATTGCATGAAATCTAAATGAATGTCTCAGTGAGAAGTTAGTCAATATAACAATATAATTTGGCCAATCACTCCTCAGCACTTTGATCCCTTTCCTCTACTGATCTCTCTTTAATTTTCATGAAATCTGCCCCACCTTTCTTTTCCTTTTTTTCTCTAGCTTCCACATAGGAGGAAAAAAATACAACCCTTCAAATAACCTAAAACCTTCTGAGTTTTACTCATTTTGTTTAACATGATGGTCTCTAGTTCCATCCATTGTCCTGCAAATGAGAAAATTTCATTTTTCTCTATGGCTGAATAAACTTTCTATATATATATATATATAATCACATTTTCTTTATCCATGCATCTGTTGATGGACACCTACGCTGGTTCCATAGTTTCATTATTATGAATTATGCTGCTTATCTCCATCTTTTAAAAATAGTTCAGGCAAAAGTGTATCTTCTAGGGTACTTGCCTAGCATTCACAAGGCCCTGGATTTAATCCTTAGCACTGCAAAAAAAGAATTTTAAAAATGGCCATTGAGACACAGCCATGTGTATTGTGGCTCCGCGGGGGTGTGTGTGGGGGGGAAACATCCCAAGAGAGATTAGGAAATATTTTGTACTAAATCCTAATGAAAGTACAACATATCACAGTCTGTGAGATTTAGGTTAGTAATCCTGAGAAGACAGTTAATTGCTCTAAATGATTAGACCAGAAAATTAAGAAAGGCATGAAATCAATGATTTCTACTTCCCCCTTAATAAACTAGAAAGAGGAAAGTTACTAATCTCCTAGTAAGTACAAGAAAGGACATAAAAATAATAGCAGTAATCAATGAAATGGAAATGAAACAGTAGAAAAATCAAAAGTAGAAGGATCTTTGAGAAGCAGTAATAGTATTGACAGCCCCTAGTAATCCTGATAAAGGAAAAAAGAGAAAATACAAATTACTAGTATTAAAGCAAAAGACCTTTATCTAGTAAAAAAATGAAATTCATAATTAAAGAATTTTCCATAAACAAAATTTTGGTTTGCAGCCAGATACTGTGACACATACCTGTAATCCCAGCAACTCAGGAGGCTGAGGCAGGAGGATTACAAGTCTGAGGCCAGCCTGGGCAATTTCATAAGACCAAGTTTCAAAATGAAAAGTAATAAGGACTGTATCTCAGTGTTTCAGGATTTCTGGGTTCTATCCCTAGTAGCACGAAAAAGAAACAAACAAAAAAACACTGGTCTAGACAGCTTCACTGGTAAATTTTATCCAACTTATAAATAATAAATAGCATCAATCCTATTCAAATTCTTCCACAAAACATAAGGGATGGGAACACTTCCCAAATCATTTTATGAAGTTTCTATAATCCAGGTACCCAAACCAGATAAGAAAAGTATAACAAAATAAGACTAATAATTTGTTTATTAATATTTCTGTGAACATAGTTGTTAAAATTCTTAACATTATAATGGCAAATTGCCAGATATAAAAGGGATTATTTTACTACCATCAGGTGAAGTTTATCCCAATAATGAAAGTTTTAATATATCCAAATCAATAAAATTTACCATATTAATAGATTAGAGGAGGAAAAACCTATGGTCATTTCAGGAAAAGCTTTTGACAAAATACAAAACAAATTTATGATAAAAAGCCCTAGCTACCTGGAAAAGCTCTTACCCACAAAAAGGCATTTACAAAAAACCATAGTTAACGTCACACTTAATGATGAAGTACTCCAAAAGATCAAGAATAAGACAAGAATGTTTACTTGTCACTGCTGTCATTCAACAATGTATTGGTAGTTATAGCCATGGCAATGAGATAAGAAAAAGAAAAAATTGGAAAAGAAAGAAGTAAAACTGTCTCCCCCCCACCACACACAGATAACATATATAGAAAATACTAAGGAGTCTAGAATATATTAGAACTAGTAAGTGAATTTAACAGTGTCACAGGATACAAAGTCAGTATACAAAATCAATTTTATTTTTATACTGAAATACATTCAACATTTAGAAAATGAAATTTAAGGTAGGCTAAGGAGAAAACCAGTTGGTGTGAAGTCCAGGGCTAGCTGGGAAGCCCCAGAACATCATATTGATCTAGGTTCGTCCCTTCCTCCCTTCCTCTTCTTTCCACATACCTTTATTTTATTTTTAAATATTTATTTTTTAGTTATACTTAGAGACAATACCTTTGTTTTATTTATTTTCTTAATGTGGTGCACATCCCAGGCAAGCACTCTGCCACTGAGCCACAGCCCCAGTCCTAGGTTTCTTTCTTTATGTCCTACCATCCAGAGCCTGGTCTCCATCCTCAGTATCATCCCATGGTCTGTGACAGATAGCTGCTGTGAAACTTCTTCTGTCAAAGTCTACACTCCCATACTGGAATATGGAGGAAGGGAAAATTGGAATGGGAAAAAATAAAAACAGAAATTTCCCTTTCCAGCTCTCTCTGTTCTGAAAGTCTCCTATGACATTTCCATTTAGAGCTCCTTAGCCAAACTTGAAGTGATATGAATGAATTGAGAAACAGTCTTTATCCTAGATAGCAGTCTTGCCTACATGACTATGAAGAGTTTTATTTAAGGAAAAAGCATAGATAGCATTCTCAGAACTCCCTTTAACCAGCCCTGTTAGGTTTGGCTATATATAAAAAAAATCCACAACAGTGGCTTCAGCAAGATCAAAATTTCTGTCTTTTCCTAAAAATTGAACCTGGGAAAACATTCAGTAACAACAAATTTTGTGTTTGGAATGTGCTATTCTGAGTATTTTTGTCTTTTACCACTAAATTATGAAATGAGTGGGGTGTTTGCTTTCTTTCAGCGTTCTTTTACAAGCAGCCATATTTGTCACTTAACCCTTGTTCTTCCTCAGAGACAATGGACCTCAGATAGCCTATGTTCGGGACTTCAAGGCAAAGGTTCAGTATTTCCGGTTCTGGTGCCAGGTTAGTATTGGGACTGTATCTCTATACTTACTTTAGTTTATTAAGTGACTTTTATTATTACACAGTGATTTTGGAAATGATTAACTCCTGGAAAAACAGGTAAAATGGGAAACATTAGAACTCCTTCCCCTATTTTTAGGACAAAGAAATACATTTATTGATCTGGTAATTTGTAGCTTTTTTTTAATCCAGAAGATTAAGCTTAAAATCATTTGAATAATAAAACATTGTCACTTTTTCCTCAGTACTCAAATCTTCAAATACGTTAAAACTTTTTCTAATGTATAAACTGTGACTGACCATTTTCATAACTATTGTTTGATACAAATGACTAATAGGTACATATATGTTCATACACAAATGACCACATATATTCAAACTTGTTATGTTTAGAGTGTTTTTCTAAATGTGATCAGCTGCTTCTAATGTCTAAATAAATTACTTGAATTAATGATTTTATGGGTGCTAAGTAAAATTAATACATTAGAATGTTGTTTTATAAAATATTTCTAAACTTCAAAATCCTCTAATTAACTGAGAAACCAGAAGAATCAATTAGTTTTTTTTAAAATAAAATTAAGATTTATTTGAGTCACTAAAGTAAGCATTGTGCATAAGATTTTTTTTTCTGTTTCTCCTATATCAAATAATATGTAATCAGCATGAATACTCACAAATGCATTGGTAAACACTACTGAATATAAATTCATGTTATTTTTGTTTGTTTGTTTCTATAAACAAGTAAGACTTTTCCCTTTTTCTTTTTTGGTAGGTAATTTTAATAGAATTGACTTAAATCATTCTTATATTTCAGCAATTGGCCATGCCACAGCACATAAAGATTACAGTAACAAGAAAAACACTGTTTGAGGATTCCTTTCAACAGGTATTGTCTTGTTTACTGAGTAGTTCTGCTAAGCCAGAGCCACCTTTTGGTGTTAACAGTTCAACCCAAATAGTTTTGAACTTGAGTTTGGAGTTCTTGAATTTTTAAATTTAATCTCATTACAGACTACCTTAGTATTTATCATTTAGGAACATGTACAAAGTTTTGTGTATGTGTGTGTGCTCGCGCGCGCGTGCTTGTGTGCCTCAGTGTTTGTTACTCATAGTGATTAGTGAGTTTTTGATTTCCATTTCTATGCTGTTTGGTGTTTGATTTGAAATAGATGTAAAAATTGGGAAATAGGCTATCAATGGGCAAAGGTCTTGAAATATCCATATAAACATTGTGGAATGGGAAAGGAGATGGGATGACTTCATTTTTACACTCTGAATTACTTAGATTTTTATTATAAACATGTTACTGTTACAATTAAAAATTATTTAGATGTAGGAAACAAAATAAATGGTCATTGGTGACAGTATCTGATAAAGGATGTGTTAGATTTCCAAAATAATCAACAATTTTTTTTACTTGCGCCCAGAACCTGAATCAATCAATCAACTTTATCTTGCAGATATTACTTTTTTAAAAAAATACTTATTTATTTTTAGGTGTAGTTGGACACAATGCCTTTATTTTATTTATTTATTTTTATGTGGTGCTGAGGATTGAACCCAGGACCTCGCACATGCCAGACAAGTGCTCTACTGCTGAGCCACAACCCCAGCCCTATCTTGCAGATATTACTAACAACCAACTATAACTAAATGTTAAGTGATTGGCCATGCCAATGGGAGCAAATGTGTTGAATTGAAAACATCTGGCTAATCCTTGTTTAAGATCAAATGTAGAAGTGATTATTTTCAAGATATCGTTGTAGCAACAACTCAAGAAGTAACTGAATGCAAAGGGGAAAGAAATTGAGATAGTTGGCAGTAGCTGGCTACTTGCTTTTAGAAATACTTGTGTTCATTTTCTAATGGAACCTCAATTATTAACATTAAAAGGGAAACCCAGTTTGCATCCTGCTCTGTAGGAGCAGACAACTTTTTAGTGGGACTTGGAGCTTGATTGAGACCATTTAGAGAATTGTGGTCATACCCCTTGATCTGATGTAAGTTTCCAAGATCATTCTATACCCTAGTCTTTGCCCATTTCTAGTTTTCATATTCATAATCACCCTTTTGGCACTGAGTAATTAGTCTGTGTTGAGTGGGTTTCTTGGAACATAACTTGGAACACAGCTAGTGTTAAGCTGTGAAATAGGCTGGATGTGGTGATGCAAGCCTGTAGTCCCAGCTGTAGGAAGCTGAGGCAGGAGAATTGCAAGTATGAGGCCAAACTTAGTAATTTAGGGAGACCCTGTTCCAGAATAAAATAAAAAGGACTAGGGACATAGCTCTATGGTAGAGCACCCCTGGATTCAATCCCCAAAATGACCCCCCCAAAAAAAGAAAAAAAAAAGAATATCACTATTTAAAAGAAAATTATATAGCCGGGTGCAGTGGTGCACACCTGTAATTCCAGCACCTTGGGAGGCTAAGGCAGGAAGATTGGGAGTTCAAAGACAATGTCAGCAACTTATTGAGACCCTGTCTAAAAATATTTTTAAAAGATATTGGATGTGACTCAGTGGTTAAGTGCCCATGGGTTTAATCTCTGGTATCAAAAGAAAAAAAGAAATTTATATATGTATAAAGTACACAAAGATACAGATACGTATAACATATAAAATGTTATGGAAATTTAATGTGTTTTCTATATGTGTGATGTTAACTAGATCACAAACAGCATTTTGTGTCCTAGGGGATTTAAGTTACCTTTAATGAAGAAAGTGTCAGATTTGGAAGTGATAGAATGATGTTTCCACAACTGCTTTTACCAATTTTCTTATTTTGTAGATAATGAACTTCAGTCCCCAAGATCTGCGAAGACGTTTGTGGGTGATTTTTCCAGGAGAAGAAGGTTTAGATTATGGAGGTGTAGCAAGGTAGTGATAATATGAATACTCAGAACTTAGTTCCTTTCTTCCAAAGGTATCATTGCACTTTGCTTGCAAGTATTATTTTCTCAATCTTATATTTCAGGAAAATGAAATATGACAAATTATTGTAGCTTTATTATGCTGGAGCTACAGAATTTCAACAAACATTAATTCAGCACTTTCTAAGGTATTGCTAGTTGACTTCACCTACATCATTCATTTAGCCCTCAGAACAACCCTGTGAGATAGAATTCTACAGATGATGAAGTTTAGAGATTCATCTAACACACATAATAAGTTATATAGCCTGGATACAACCACCTCATGTCTGTTTCACAGAGCATGCAAGGCCCTATAGCACTCGTGTCATTTCCTCCTCTACACAGTACTGATACAGATAATACACAATTCCTAACTGATATTAAAAATCTGTCATGAGAATACAGAGACTATATAAAATAGAGTTGAAAATCTTAATTCTTTTTTTTTTTTTTTAAAGAGAGAGAATTTTTTTTTTTAATATTTATTTTTTAGTTTTCGGCGGACACAACATCTTTGTTTGTATGTGGTGCTGAGGATCGAACCTGGGCCCGCACGCATGCCAAGCGAGCGCGCTACCACTTGAGCCACATCCCCAGCCCGAAAATCTTAATTCTACTTTCTTCATATTGGAGCTACTAATCAAGCCCTGGAAGGTAGCCTTCAGGAAGAAATTGTGTTTCTGAGCAGGGCATGTGGTTTAGTGGTAGAGTGCTTGCTTAGCAAAGTGGAGGTGCTGGGGTAGATCCCCAGAACAGCAAAAAAAGAGCCAGGCAAGTCTAGAAGCTGAAGCAGTAGAATTACGCTTTCAAGGCCAATCTCAGCAACTTAGATCATTTCTCAAAATAAAAAAGAAAAAGAACTGAAGATGTAGATTAGTGATAAAGTGCCCCTGAATTCAATCCCCTGTATGAATAGAAAGAAAGAAAAAAAAATCACTTTCCTTATTCCATAGCAATATGTCATACCAGGGCAAAAATTTACATAGTAGTGGCAATGTGGAAAGGCAAGGACTTTGGAGTCAGGAGTGGTATTAATGTTTTCTTTTCTGCACCCATAATGTTTCTCTATCTTGGATTACTATGAAGAATAGAAATACTTTAATGAAATACTTTAATAGAAATACATTAGTAACCTAAGTTACATCAGAACCTAAGTCTTTCTGTGCTCACTAACTGGTGACTACATTTTAGTAATCCTTTATATTGTGACATAAATTTCTTTCAAGTATATGAAATAGTCAGAAGTAAAAGAGTAGATGGGGCTGGGGTTGTGGCTCAGGAGTACAGTGTTCGCCAAGCATGTGTGAGGCCCTGGGTTCAATCCTCAGCACCTCATAAAATAAATAAATAAAATAAAGGTATTGTGTCCAACTACAACTAAAAATTGAATTTTTTTTTTTAAAAAACAAAGTAAACGAGTAGAAACCTTTAATTTTGTACAAGGTAAAGATAATTCAGGAAGAGGCCAATTATTCAGTCTTATTTAGAAAACCACTAACAATATTAAAAGCAGCATTATTACCAGAGGCTATGAACTAACAGGAAAAGAGGTCTAGGAAACTGATACCACAATGTTTTGTTCCAGATTTGTCCTACCAAACCCATACATGTTACATAGTTAATAATCACAATCTCAGGTTAATATGGGTAGATATTTTCAGAGCACTTGAATTGGTGCTTTTAACAGCATTTTCTCAATTTTTAAGGAGCCAGAATTACTTGGTTTATTGCCTCCGAAATTGGAGGGTTGTTCACATTCATCCTAAATGTAGGTAGTGGTGGCACTTGTTGAAGATCACCATGGGACTTAGCAATACATGGAATATTAGATGCATTTCAGCCACTCTCATCACATGAGTCAATAGTGAATTTTAACTTGTCTACATGTAGTAGCATTTCATCAATTCCAAGACTAATATTTTCAAAATTGGACTGTGTATTACCATTATAATTGGAAAAAAAATGTTAGTGGTTCATCAAATAAAGGTACATTTAAAGTCAATAATGGGTTAGATTTTTTTGAAATCTAACAATAAGCAATGTATAAATATCAACACATTTGAGCAGAAGCAATGAAAATCAACAGATTAGATTAGAGGTTAGACAACTAGTACCACCTAAGGAATGTAGATTCCTGAGAACTTTGTAGCATTGATCTTTGATTTGTTGGCATTGTTACTTACGAGATTTTTCATCCTGAGTTTTCTTTTGATTTCAGAGAGTGGTTCTTTCTTTTGTCACATGAAGTTTTGAACCCAATGTATTGCCTGTTTGAATATGCAGGGAAGGATAACTACTGCCTGCAGATAAACCCCGCTTCTTACATCAATCCAGATCACCTGAAATATTTTCGTTTTATTGGCAGGTTTATTGCCATGGTAAGTGCAGGTGGAGAACTGTGTGTTTACTTTGTTAAATCAACAATATTAAATTTTCTTACATATGCCATAAAAGATCATTTGACAGGGGAGTTTTTATAAATGAAGAATACACCTAATGTTTAGAAATAAAATTACTTTCATATAGTTATCTGAAATGATGTTTTCTTTTTGTATAGGCTCTGTTCCATGGAAAATTCATAGACACAGGTTTTTCTTTACCATTCTATAAATGTATCTTGAACAAACCAGTTGGACTTAAGGATTTAGAATCTATTGATCCAGAATTTTACAATTCTCTCATCTGGGTTAAGTAAGTTTCTATATATATTTAATTTATTAGAATAGAGTCTATATGCTTTCATTATGGTATTAGTAACTTATCAAGCTATAGGCATGTAATTGGTTTATTGAATTTAAATGATCTGCACGTCAAACTTGTCTTTCTGTTTAATGTGATAAATTTCACAGGAGTACCTTAAGAAACTAGGTAGTAATATGATAGTTTAAGAGCATATAACCTTCTAATTTCTTATTTTGATGTTATAGCTTAATGTTAATTATTTTAGACCAGAGGCCTCAAGTCAAAACTTGAATTATGTTTGAATTCGTGGACATGACAAATAGTGCTAATTTTATTTTTACAGAGAAAACAATATTGAAGAATGTGGTTTGGAAATGTACTTCTCCGTGGATAAAGAAATTCTAGGTGAAATTAAAAGTCATGACTTGAAACCCAATGGTGGCAATATTCTTGTAACAGAAGAAAATAAAGAGGAATATATCAGGTGAGAGAGAATGTTCCTTTTGATATAGTTTAGCATTTCTGTTGATAATTTCCTATTAATAGTAAATTGGCAATATTTCAAAAAAAATTTCCCTTTGTACTAATCATTATTCTATGTAAGTAGTTATTTCTCACTCACAGTTTCAGCCCAAAAGTGGGAGTTCCAAGGGTAGAAATGCTAGATCATTTCTTTTAAATTTCAATTCTGTAACCACTGTGCTAAATATCATTTAATTGCAAAAAAATCTCAAATTTGTATGCTGATATTTTCATGGGGAATATTAAAAAATTGGGCAAAATTTATAATAAAATAATGGTTTATGGTATTTCCTCTATAATGCTTTGCACTGGTTCATACTTGTAGTTACTGGTCCATTCAAGTCTTCTCGACACCAGTTCTATCTAATCAGGGTTAAATTGAGTGTATCTGCTGCTGCTTATGTTTCAGTTTCTATGTCTCTTGCCTGATTTTCCCTTCATAATTAGAAGTGTACAATTGTACCCATCACCAACTACTATGTACAATCATTGTTTATTAGTTACATAATGTAGCCTTTCGAAAATTTAGTTTAAACTGGATGCGTTGGCATACGCCTATAATCCCAGCTACTCCTGAGGCAGTGAGTTGTGACTTCAAGGCCAGGCTGGGCGACTTAGTGAGACCCTGTCTCAAAATAAAATAAAAAGAACTGAGGATGTAGCTCAGTGATAAAGGGCCCCTGGGTTAAATCTCTTGTCCCACCCAAATAAATAAATAAATACATTTTTTTGTTTGTTTGTTTTTTTTTAAATATTTTCTCCCATTCTTTGCAGTTTCCTTTTATTTTTTTTAATTTTTTAATATTTATTTTTTAGTTTTCAGCGGACACAACATCTTTGTTTGTATGTGGTGCTGAGGATCGAACCCAGGCCGCACGCATGCCAGGCGAGCGCGCTACCGCTTGAGCCACATCCCCAGCCCTGTTTGTTTTTTAAGAGGTATAATTTAGAGTAAAATGCCGAGAGCTTACCTAAGTAAATAGTTAATATTTTGGCAATTTCGTACCAGAGATTGAGTCCAGAGGTGCTTAACCACTGAGCCACATTCCCAGCCCTTTTACTATTTTATTTTGAGACAGAGTCTTGCTAAGTTTCTTAGGACCTCAGCCTTCCTCGTCGCTGGAATTACAGGCATGTGCCATTGTCCCCAGCTGCTAAATCACTCTTAAATGTCAGTTTTGTAAACATTATTCAATATAGCATCATGTCCCTATAAAGATGACCTAAGGGGCTGGGATTGTGGCTCAGCGGCAGAGTGCTCGTCTAGCACGTGTGAGGCCCTGGGTTTGATCCTCAGTACCACATAAAAATAAATAAACAAAATAAAGATGACCCAAATCAAACTATGGGACTTTTTTTTCCCCTTCTTCTGTCCCCCCACCCCATAACAGAGCAATACCATATGCATTTCCCTTCCCCTGGCCGAGAGGCAGCTGGTTCAGTTTAGTTGTATTTCTGTATCAGATCCTGGACTTCCTAAAATGGAATCATATCATGTACTTTTTTGTATCTGTCTGTTTTATTCAGCATTATGAGATTTATCATGTTTTATGTTTCAGTATTTTATTCCTTTTTGTTGCTGAGACATGTTTCATGTTATGTGTACATCACAATTTGTATATCCATTCTCTCATTGACATTTCAGTTGTTACCCTCTTTAGGGTTATTATGAGTAAAGCTGCCTTGAACATTTTTATTGAGCCTTTTTGTGAACCATGTTTGTATTTCTCTTACATAAATACCCAGGAGTGAAATGTTGGGTGTTAGGGTGGGTGCTTAACTTCATTAGAAACTTGCTGCCAGTTTCTAAAAGTGGTCCTGCCATTTTATAGGCCTACTAGCAGTGTTTGCGTTTTTGTTTTACAATCTTGCCAATTCAGTATTGTTTGTAGTATATCCTTGTAGTTTTAACTTCCATTTCTTCCTTCACTTATGGTATTGAGTACCTTTTTGTACATATTGATTATTTGTAGCTCTTTTGCCCATTTTATGATGGACATTTTGTAATTGGGATGTCCTTCATTGGTTTTAAAGAGTTCTTTACATATTCTGGATCATTGATTTTAGACATCTCCGTTTTCTAATATGAGCATTTAAAGCAGTTTCTAGTTAAAACTATCACAATTGTGGGACATACCTTAGCTATGTCCCACAATTGTGATAGTTTTCATTATCATTTAGTTAAAAATATTTTCTAATATTCATTGTGGTTTCTTTTTTGATCCATAAGTTATTTAGAAGTATATTGTTTAATTTCCAAAGTCTGGGGATTCTTTCCAACTACCTTTGTTTTCTAATTTAATTCCATTATGGTCAGAGAAGAGTCTCTAAATTATTACATTTTAAATATTTTGAAACTTGTGTTATAACCCAATGTGTGTTATATCTGGTACACTTGAAATGTTATGTACTGCCATTGTTAGGTTAAAATTCTATAAATGTCAATTAGGGTCAGATTGGTTGATGATATACTAAACTTTTCTATATCCTTATTGATGGTTTTGTTTTTGTTTTAATTTTTGGTGCTGGGGATTGAAACCAAGACCTCACACAGGTTAAGCCTGTGCTGTACTACTGAGCCACACCCCTGGTCTTATTTTTTGCTTCATGTATTTTGAAGCTATGTTATAGTATATTCTCATGTATATTATGCTTGCAACTAATGAATTGGCTCTCATGAAATGTCATTTTTCTATTTCTGTTATTATCCCTTGGGTTAATTAGTTTTTTTTTTTTTTTTTTTTTATCACTATGGTCAAAATATCTGACAGGGATAACTTAGAGGAGACATTTTTATTTTTGACTCAGGATTTCAGAGGCTTAGTCCATGATTGACCAAACCCATTGCTATGGGCCCAAGGTGAGTCAGAGCATCATAGCGGAGTGCACATTGGAGGAGTACTATTCATGGCTGTCTAGAAAGTAGAGAGAGAAAGGGAAAGGGATCACAAGGAAGTTGAATCTTTCCAGGGCATGCCCCACAGTGACCCATCTCCTCCAGCCATGCCCCATTTACCTACAGTCACCACCCAGTTATTACATTGAAACTAATATGGAGTGATTAAGTCACAGCTCTCATAATCCTATAATTTTACCTCAGATTGTCCTGTACCAAAACCATAACATCCACTCCAGCTTTCCTGTGATGAGTATATTTACATAGTATATTGTCATACAGCCATTTACATTCTATCTGTATCTTTATATCTAAATTTGTTTCTTGAAAGCAGTGTATTCCTAGGTCTTATTATTTTTATGGTTTTATTATTTTTATATATAATGGTTAAGTTTTGCTATTTGCAAGTCTCACCTTGCTATTTGTTTCCTAAAGTCTGTTCTCCTTTCCTATCTTCTTTGAGTTGATAGATCAGTTATTATTGGTTTTTAATCTATTCTGCTGGCATTTTAGTTAAACTTAACTTTTTTGGTGATGACAATAATGATTACAATAATATGCATTCTTAACTTGTCTCTGTTTACCTAAAATTTATATTATAGCACCTCTTCTACAATATAAGAAGCTCATAAGACTATAATTATACTTATTTCATTCCAGTCCTTGTTCTGTTGTTGTTATATTTATGCATATATTATAAATTTCATAATACCTTGTAACACTAAAGCGTTATGTGTACAGCTGCTGGATTTGGCAGATTGGATCTGATAGACAGTAAAGACACTTTTTTTTATATAAGATGGCATTTATTTGAGTAATTATATGGAATCAAGAGCAAAAGCAAAAGTGATAGGTGAGAAAAAGAAGAAAGTACATCACCAGATAAGAGGAAACACCAACACCTGAAGTTATATAGCTGGGGAGTCCCGGGACAGCTTTTCAGCCCCTGAATATTTGATATTAAAGAAATATCATTCTCTTTTTTGTTGTGATAATGGTGTGGTTATGCTTTTAAGAAACTTCATGCTTGAAATATTTTTTCAAAGGAAATTACTCTAATGTATGAGCTAATGGCATAGATGATATAAGATAGGCATTGTGATAAAGCTTGGATATGTTTACAAAGGGGTTCATTATACTCTACATTTATGTTTCAGGTTTTTCATAATAATAAAGTTTAAAATGTTTAACTTTATACTAGAATTTAAAGGTAAAATGTAAATTTCCTGATAGCTTTTTCATATTTATTTGCCAGAATGGTAGCTGAGTGGCGGTTATCTCGAGGTGTTGAAGAACAGACACAAGCTTTTTTTGAGGGTTTTAATGAAATTCTTCCTCAGCAGTATTTGCAATACTTTGATGCAAAGGAATTAGAGGTAATGAATTTTTCTTCATTCCCTTGAAGCATGCTAGTAAATAATAATTTCAGGTGTCTACTTTAAATTCACTTTTCCATCTTTTCAGTGGCAGTAGTATTTTTTCTGCTGGTATGATGTTTTGAAACATCCTCAATGGTTAAAAAAATCAAAATTTATGGAGGGGACACAGGTATTGGAAAGATAGTGGAATGAGATGGACTTCACCTACCATAAGTACATGTATGAACACACGAATGGGTGTGATTCTATTTTATGTACAACCAGAGACATGAAAAATTGTGCTCTATATGTGTACTATGAATTGAAATGCATTCTGCTGTCATGTATACCAAATTAGACTAAATAAATGTAAAATTAAAAAAAAGAAAAATCATAATTTATCCAAAAATGAAAGATCATTATTTTAAAAAAAAGTGTTACATTAATACTTCTTTACACTTGAGTAGATATTCCTTGAATATATGTATATATGGAACCATAAGTGAAACTTGCTTTCCTAGGTCATAGATACAATTCTTGACGTACAGTTTATACCTGCTGTTAATGTTTTTATTAATATTATCTTTTCTTATGTCAATCATTTTTTTATAAAGTCACCTAAAGAAACAATTTGTCTTTTTCATCCCTAAAGGTCCTTTTATGTGGAATGCAAGAGATTGATTTAAATGACTGGCAAAGACATGCAATCTACCGTCATTACACTAGGACAAGCAAACAAATCATGTGGTTTTGGCAGGTTTGTTTCTAAATTTGTTTCAGTTGGTAACCACAGCATGAAATTCCTTCAAATTTACCACAACGAGTAAAAGAACAAAATATACCAATGTGTGCAGTCCCCTCAGTCCATCCTATGCATTATAATACCATGTTATAGTAAATAAGTATAGCTGAGCATGGGGTGCACACCTATAATCCTAGGGATTGAGACAGGAGGATTGCAAATTTGAGCCAACCTCTACAATTTACCAAGACCCTGCCTCAAAATAAATAATTCAGTGGTAAAGTGCCCTAGGATTAAATCTCCAGTAAAGGAAAAAAAAAAAATCACAGATTATAGATTTGAACAACTATCATATTCATACTGGGGTTTGAGGTTTGAACCCAGAGGTGCTCTATCACTGAGCCATATCCCTATTTTGAAACATTAAGATTAAGTTTTCTAGGCTAACCCTGAACTTGCTGCAATCCTCCTGCCTCAGCCTCCTGAATCATTAGGATTATAGACATGTGTCCTCTAGCCTTTTATCACCATTCTTTTTAAGACTAAGTAACCAACATATATACCTTACACATTTGCCCAGATTATAAGACAGTTCCCGTAAATTAGATTCACATTTGATTTAAATGCTGTTTGGAATAGTGTAAAACTGTCAGTATGGTTTTCATTATTCATACTTCATTAAGGTGTTCAGGTGGCAAAATTTAAGAGACCTGGTTTAAAATCATAATGGTGTCTTTCAAAAAAAATGTCTGCTATAATAACATGAAAAGATGTTCAATGTCATTGGTCATTAAGAAAGTGGAGTCAAAACCACAATGAGATACCACTTCATACTCATTAGTTTTATCAAGGGTTGGGGGTAATTTGTGAGGATCTGAGCAATTGAAACTTTCCAGTCTTGATGAGAGTAATAATGCACCAATATGGAAAACAGTTTGGCAGTTTATAAAAAAGTTAAACATAGAATTAATATATGATTCAATAATTCCACTCCAAAAAGGAAAGACTCAGATACTGCCACATACATGTTCGTAACAATATTATTTAAGATCACCAAAAGGTGAAATTAACCCATATGCCTGTCAATAGATGGATAAATAAAATGTGCTCTATATTTATAATGGACTATTATTAAACCCTATAAATCTAACACCCCCCCAAAAAAAAATTGACCCATGCTAGAAACAGTATCCAAAAACCTAATGTTTTGAGTAAGAATTAAAGGAAGTAGCCAGGCACAGTGGTGCAAATTATAACCCTAGCAGCTTGGGAGGCTGAGACAGGAGGATCATTAGTTCAAAGCTAGCCTCAACAATTTAGTGAGGTTCTGTCTCAAAATAAAAAGGGCTGGGGATGTGGCTCAGTGGTTAAGCATCCCTGGTACAAAAAAAAAAGTTGTAGGCACATAATACTACATATAGGTACATGAACATTTAAAAAACATCAAGGAAAGGAAGTCATTGGATTCTATCTGGATCAGAATTCCGTGAGCTTGATTGGTTTATATTACCAAAAAAGTCCATATAGACTGAAGCTCCATGTCCTATATAACTGTATAGATAGGCTAGGCAGATCTAGGAGGGGGGAAGCAGGGACTTCCTAAAAGAGCTCATCTTCCAACTGCATGAATAGGGAGCTCTTAGGCCCCGAGCATGCTTCTTTTTATAGACATGTTGTCCTGAGATTGATTTAGGGGAAGGTGGTAAGCTTCGATAAACACGAAAATGCCCCCTTTAGGGCTGGGGCTGTAGCTCAGCGGCAGAGCATTTGCCTAGCATGCGTGAGGCACTGGGTTTGATCCTCAGCACCACATAAAAATAAACAAATAAAATAAAGGCATTCTGTTCATCTACTACTACAAAAATAAATAAGGGAGGGAGGGAAGGTTCATTTAATATTTGTGTGGGGGTTTGTTTGTTTTGGTTTTGTACCGGGGATTGAACCCAGGGGCACTTAACCCCTGAGCCATATCCCCAGCCCTTTTTATTTTGAGACAGGGTCTTGCTAAGTTGCTGAGGCTGGCCTTCAACTCATGATCCTCCTCCCTCAGCCTCCCATGTCACTAGGATTATAGGCATGTAGCACCATGCCCAGCTCATTTAAGATTTGAAATGATTTTTCTTTCATGTGCAGTGAGCCAAATGTAACATGTTCTATATATCTCTTTAAATATAATCTTAACAGTTTGTTAAGGAAATTGATAATGAGAAGAGAATGAGACTTCTGCAATTTGTCACTGGAACTTGCCGATTGCCAGTAGGAGGATTTGCTGACCTCATGGGTATGTATACCAGGTACTTCTCTCCTATACAGAAAATCATTATCACACTGCTGTTAGGTAAGTGTCTATGTAAGGTATCAGAAATAAAAAGATAAGTATAACCATTTTTTTTCAACTAGCCACAATTTAACCTGGATTGTGTAAACTTCTAAATCATTTTGTAGTCTTTACTTAGGATATCCGTCTTCTGTATGTGAACTTTGTTCAGTCAGTCATTTGGCAAACATCTTAGTTTCTCTGAAATGAGAAATATTACTGGTCATATAATATTGTTTAATGATGTGAGAAGATCATTGTACCATAGTGGGTTATTACTTCCCTAATGCCTTCCCAATAGTTTCCCATTTTGTTTGAAACCACTTTTCTAATAGACTGGGAATTGTTTGAGATATAGGTCATATTTTAATTATTTTGTGGTTATTTAAGTGAATGTGAGCATTATGCTAAGTACCCCAGAAGGCTGCACACGTAAGTGATCTCTAAGACTGCTTCAGCTTAGTCAGAATTAGCAAACTAAGCAGGTGATTTTAAAGTGTGAAATCAGTTTAACAAAGATGTTTTAATCATACCAAAAGAATTTGGATATTACCTGGAAGATACTGGAAGCTATGGAAGCATTTTGAAAAAAGGAAAACTTGTAGAGGCTGCATTTTAGGAAGATTTGATAATAAGATAAATAGCATGTTAAAAGATGGGGCTGGATACTGTGGCACATGCCTGTAATCCCAACTACTTGGGATGCTGAGGCAGAAGAACCATAAATTCAAAGTCAGCCTTAGCAAGTTAGTGAGTTCCTGTCTCAAAATAAAAAAGGACTTTGTGTGTGGATCAGTGGCAGAGCAACCCTGGATTAAATCCTAGTAATACTCAAAGATGGGGAGACCCTGAAGGATATGAGGAACTTATTGCAGCAATAATGGGAACCTGATCTTAGGAGACTGAAGTGGAAATACAAGGGAAAGAATAAATGCTAGAGAAGTTTCAAAAGTAGAAACAGAGCTAGATTTTAAGGTATAAAAAGAATAATGTAGGGAAATGGAGAAGCTGTGAAGTGTAAAGAACATAGTTAGAGATGTTGTAGAAGGATGATGAGTGGTTTAGAATCTGCTGAGTTTAAGGTGACTACTGCCAGATAACTGAGTAGAAAATTCCAGAGAGCATTTTTTTCTAGTAATAATAATGTATGAGTTAGAGGTAAGAGAAGAGGGAAAGTTAAAACAATAGAACAATGACATTTTGATCTGAGAGAATAAATAGCCTTATACAAAAATAGAATATAGAGGCTGAGGTTGTGGCTCAGTGGTAGAGCGCTCACCTAGCACGTGCAAGGTGCTGGGTTCGATCCTCAGAACAAAATAAAATAAAGGTATTTTGTCCAACTAAAACCAAAATTTTTTTTTTTTTTTTTTTTTTTTGGTTGTAAGTGGACACAATACCTTTATTTTGTTTGTTTATTTTTATGTGGTGCCAAGGATGAAACCCAGTGCCTCATACATTTGAGGCAAGTGCTCTACCACTGAGCCAAACCCTAGCCCCAAAATATATATATATATATATATTTTTTTTTTTTTTTTTTTAAATAGAATATAGAAAATAATAGAGTGCTGTTGCTTAAAAACATCTGTATGTAAGGATGAGACAGAAATAGCCTGGAGGCCAACTTAAAGAATGAGCCAGAGTTGCCAGTGGCACATGCCTGTAATCTCAGTGGCTCGGGAAGCTGAGGCAAGAGAATCTTGACTTCAAAGCCAGTCTCAGCAATGGTGAGGTGCTAAACAACTCAGTGAGATCCTGTCTCTAAATAAGATACAAAACATGGCATGTGTCTGCATCTGCTTTTTGGGGTGGGGGGAGGGTACTCAGGGTCTCACTGAGTTGTTTAGCGCCTCACTTTTTGCTGAGGCTGGCTTTAAACTCGTGATCCTCCTGTCTCAGCCTCCCGAGCCTCTGGGATTACAGGAGTATGTCACCACTCCTGGGTTCCCTGTACTTTTTCATAATGGCCTTTCATATAACTACTTGTGGAAACAACTTATTGTTATTAAATATAAAGGTACTACAAATGTATATCTATACTAGATTTAGTCAGTGAGACATGAGAAAATTCTTGTGCATGACTCTCCCACACATTTCATAATATTTAATGTGCCTGGCTACTTCTAATTAAAAAAGTTAAGTGGTTCTACCATTTTGATCACTAGTAAATGCTTCTTCCAAGGGAGCAATAGTGACCTTTGTTAAGGCAGTATTTTATAATCACCAGTCATAGCTATTTCTAGCAGAAGGTAGATGACAGGCAAGAATTAATATGTTTGGGGCTAGAGATGTGGGTCATTGGTAGAGTGCTTGCCTAGCAAGCAGGAGGTCCTAGGTTCGATCCCCAGCACCACATAGGGAAAAAAAAGAAAAGAAAAGAAAATGAGTTGGTATGTGTGCGTGTTTAAGGGTATAGGTGCAGGACCTATGTTCAGCATAAGCACTGTTGACGAATTTGCCTAGGATATGTATATTTCATAAAGTTTTAACAATTCTGTATTTATTTTTTTATTTTTTTAAGAGTGAGAGAGAGAGAATTTTTTAATATTTTAATTTTTTTTTGACGGACACAACATCTTTGTTTTGTATGTGGTGCTGAGGATCGAACCCGGGCCACACGCCTACCAGGCGAGCGCGCTACCGCTTGAGCCACATCCCCAGCCCCAACCATTCTGTATTTAAATCAAGTTTTCTTGTACTAGAAAGTAGGTTGTAGTTTCCTTATTGTAGTTAAAGCTCCTAAAAATTTTTTTTAGGAGCTTTTTTTTTTAAAATTAAGCTTCTTATACATAACATTGTTATTCTGGTTAAGAAATACTCAATAAGACTGCGTTTTCTCTTTGACATACATTAGCAAAATCATTCTCAAATTTTAGCACTCACTAGAATCACTGGAAGTGATTAAAACACTACAGAGCCCCACCCATAGAGTTTCTGATTCCGTAGTTTAGGGGTAGGGCCTGTGGATTTGTGATTCCAACCTGGTAATTCTGTTGCTATTGGATTGGGACACACAATTGAGAACTTCTGAAAAACTGTTTATGATTTTATTGTTTTAGGAAGCAATGGACCACAGAAATTCTGCATTGAAAAAGTTGGGAAAGAAAATTGGTTACCCAGAAGTCATACCTGGTAAGCAAAATCAGAAAGAATAGAAAAACAAGCCTTTTTTTTCCAGCATCCTATAGCTATTTAGAACCTAACCAGTTCTAAAATGGCACACACCTGTAGTCCCAACTATCTGGGAGGCTGAAGGAGAAAGATTCCAAGTTCAAAGCCAGCCTAGGCAGTTTAATGAGACTATGTCTCGAGATAAAATAAAAAAGGGCTGGGTGTGGTGGTGCAGGCCTGTAATCCCAGCAGCTCAGGAGGCTGAGGCAGGAAGATCGTAGGTTCAAAGCCAGTCTCAGCAATTTAATGAGGCCCTAAGCAACTTAGTGAGACCCTGTCTCTAAATAAAATATAAAAAAGGCTGGGGATGTGGCTCAGTGGTTAAATACCCCTGAGTTCAATCCCCCATACCAAAAAGAAAACGATAAAAAGGACTGGTTATGTAGCTCAGTGGTAGAGCACTCCTGGGTTCGATCCCCTTCACTACCAGAAAGAAAGAATGAAACCTGTTAAAAATGAAACAGAAGAACTTTCCCCATGGTATTAAATTATTTAACAGCTTTACTGAGGCATAATTTATGTACCATAAAATTAACCATTCTAGTTTTAGAGCATTTCATTCACCTCAAAATGATCTGTTATCATATTTACCATCAATCCCTTTCCCCGCCTCCAATTTTTTTAAATTTGGTATTTAGTATACTTTTTTAATTTCTCTCTGAAGACAGGAAAATATATTTGAACTTGAAGTACTATTTTGTGGGACATTATCTCTAGTAGTCATATATATAGACCTTGATGGATATTTTTTTCTTTTTGCCATCTAACCTTTTTGCTGTTTTCGGTTTGGTTTGGTACCAGGGAAGCTTAACCACTGACCCACATCATAGCCCTTTTTTAAGAAAGGGTCTTGGTAAATTGCTGAGGCTGTCCTCAAATTTAAGATCCCCCTGCCTCAGCCTCCAAATCACTGATATTACTGGTGTACACTACCATGCCCAGTACCTTTTTGATATTTTATTATCTGTTCCTTTATGTTTTAATACTCATATGCGAGCAGTAGTTTTTAATTTTTTGCAGTACTGGGGATTGAACCTGTGCCTCATGTATGTTAGACAAGCACTCAACTACTGACCTATACCCCCCAGCCCAAGTTGTTTTTTTAAATGAAAACTTTATTGATAATAATTCATATATCATAAAATTTGCTCTCTTAAATAAGCGTGTAGGTCAGTGGTTTTTCAGTCTTTTCAGAAGGTTGTGTAATCATCACCACTATCTAATTGCAGAACATTTTTTTGATGCCACAAAGAAACCCTGTACCCATCAGTAGACACTCCCTATTTGCCCCTCATGGAACCCTTGGTAACCACTATTCTACTTTTTCTGTCTTTGTGGTTTTCCCACTCTGAAATTTTATATAAATGGAATCATAATATGTAGCCTTCTGTTTCTGGCTTCTTTTTTTAATATTTATTTTTTTAGTTTTAGGTGGACACAATATATTTTTTATTTTTATGTGGTGTTGAGGATTGAACCCAACGCCCCGCGCATGCTGCGAGTGCGCCACCGGTTGAGCCACATCCCCAGCCCCTGTTTCTGGCTTCTTTCATTTAGTATAATGTTTTCAAGATTTATCCATGTTGTGGTATGGGTTAGTATTTCATTTCTTTTTATTAGCTAGTTAGTTTTTTATTGTAAAACATTAACATAAAATTATTTATCACTTTTTTTAAAAATATTTTTTAGTTTTTTCGGTGTACACAACATCTTTATTTTACATTTATGTGGTGCTGAGGATTGAACCCAGTGCCTTGTGCATGCTAGGCAAGCACTCTACCACTGAGCCACAACCCCAGCCCTATTTATTACTTTTAATCATTTTTCAGTGTAAACAGTTCTCTGGCATTAAGTACATTCTTACAGTTGTGCAGGTGTCACCACCAATGATGATAGCACTTACTGAATGGTAACTACTCCCTCCCCAGTTCCTGGCGACCATCATTCTACTTTCTGTTTCTAGGATTTTTGACTAATTTAAGTACTTTATAAGTGTGGAATCATACTTATGTTCTTTTGTGACTGTCTTGTTTCACTTAAAATAATGCCTATAAGGTTCATCCATGTTGTAGCGTGTGTCAGAATTTTCTTTTGTTTATTTAACAGTGCTGGGGATCAAACCCAGAGTCTTGCACATACTAGGGCAAGTGCTACACTGCTGAGCTACATCCCTAATCTATCTATCTATCTATCTATATAGTACCAGGTATTGAACCAGGGACGCTTAATCACTGAATCACTTCTCAGCCCTTTTTTGGGGGGTGGGTACCAGAGATTGAACTCAGGGGCACCCAACCACTGAGCCACATGTCCAGCTTATTTGTATTTTATTTAGAGACAGGGTCTCACTGAATTGACTAGTGTCTCACTTTTGCCTTTGAACTCACAAGGCTGGCTTTGAACTCACAATCCTCCTATCTCAGCCACCCAAGCCACTGGGATTATAGGCATGTACCACCGTGCCCTGCATTCCCAGCCCTTTTTGTTTTTTTATTTTTGAGATGGTCTTGCTAAGTTCCTGAGGCTGGCTTTGAACTCGTGATCCTCCAGCCTCAGCCTCCCAGATATATAAAATATATAATTATATATATTTTTTATAACTTTTATTTATTATATTTATTTTTTATGTGATGCTGAGGATCAAACCCAGTGCCTCACCCATGCTAGGAAAGCGCTCTACCAGTGAGCCCCAGCCCCCCAGCTATATTTTTGATTGGCACATAATATTTGTACATATTTATGTGACATTTCAATATATATGTATAATCTGTAATGAAAAAGTCAGGGTAATTGGCAAATGTATCACCTCATTTATCATTTCTTTGTGTTAGGAACATTCAAAATCCTTTCTGCTAGCTGTTTTGAAATAGTCAATCGCTTGTTATCAATCATAGTTATCCTGCTGTGCTATAGAACATTCTTACCCAAATTTACTCCTATACCTTTTAACCACCCTTTCCCCATTCCTTCCTTCCTTGCCCACACCCTTCCACAAGGCTCTCGAAGTCTCTATTTCTTTGAAATCAGCTTTTTAGCTTCCACATATAAGAACATGAAATATTTGTCTTTCTGTGTCTTATTTTACTTAATATAATGTCCTCTAGTTCCATCCATGTTGCTGCAAATGACAGAATTTTATTTTTTATTTTTTAATATTTATATTTTAGTTTTTTTAAGGTGGACACATTATCTTTATTTTATTTTATTTTATTTTTGGTATTGGGGATTAAACCCAGTTACATCCTCAAGGTGGCCTGAAACAACTTATTTATTTATTTATTTATTTTTAAAGAGAGAGAGAATATTTATTTTTTAGTTTTCAGCAGACACAACATCCCTGTTTGTATGTGGTGCTGAGGATTGAACCTGGGCCGCACGCATGCCAGGCGAGCGCGCTACCGACTGAGCCACATCCTCAGCCCATGGACACAATATCTTTATTTTTCATTTTTATGTGATGTTGAGGATCAAACCCAGCGCGCCCCGCGCATGCCAGGCAAGCGTGGTACCTCTTGAGCCACATCCCCAGCCCTAGAATTTTATTCTTTTTATGGCTGAATAATATTCCATTATGTACCTATACTGCATTTTATGCATTCATCTATGGATAGACACCTAGGTTGATTCCATGCAGCCTATTGTGAATAGTGCTGCAATAAACAGCAAGTATAGATGTCTCTGACATACTGATTTCAATTCCTTTGGATATGTGTCCAATAGTGGGATTTCTGGGTCATATGGTAGTTACATTTCTAGTTTTTTTACATTCCCACCTACAGTATATGAAAATTTCCCTTTCTCTACATCCTTGCCAGCATTTGTGTTGTTGTTGTTACAGTACTGGGCTTGAACCCAGAGGTACTCTACCATTGAACTTCATCCCCATTCCTTTGTATGTTTATTTTGAGAAAGGTTCTTGCTGAGGTACCTAGGCTGGCCTTGAACTTTCAATCCTCTGGCCTTAGCCTTCCATGTATTTGGGAATTACTACACGCTCTCATAGGTGGGTCCCATAGCACCTGGTTATATATAAGTTTTGTTGTTTTTTTTTTTTTTAGTTGTAGTTGGACACAATGTTTTATTTATTTTTATGTGGTGCTAAGGATCGAACTCAGGGTCTCATATATGGTAGATGAGCGCTGTACCATTGAGCCACAATCCCAGCCCTATACATAACATTTTTATCCTTTTCTCAAACTAACAATTTTACCTTTTTTTAGTTTTAACCGCCTGGACCTTCCACCCTACAAAAGCTACGAGCAACTAAAGGAAAAGCTGTTGTTTGCCATTGAAGAAACAGAAGGATTTGGACAAGAATAACTTCTGAGACCTTGTACCACTGAAGGACAAGAACTTACTTGCAGTGTTTGTCCATTTCCTGCCTGTTGCACATCTTGTTGTAAAATTGGACTGTGACTGTTTAGAAAGTTATCTGAGTGTAAGTAAATTAATGTTATCATTGAGATTTATCTCCCAGTGATTCTGGATTTCTATTCAACATTTCCAGAGATCAGATCTATAAATGATTAGTCACAACCTTACTTAACATGAGATTTAACACAGCAATGAAATCTGCCTTGTCTTACTCCACTAGATTGTTTCCTTAACAGTTTTGTGTGTATGTCAAAAGTCTCACTTGGGAGTAGGTTTTTTACTTTTAGAGAGATTCTGCAAATATGCAGGGAAGTCTCATGGTAACTGCAATATACAAGATCTTCCTATTAAGCCTCTTGCTGAAAGGTATTTAATAAAAGTGCAAGCTTATCCCAGTTTCTGGGCACGTGAGCAGACTTCTAGCTTGTGCTCTCCCTCCCATTTCAGCCTGGCCTGACTGTTCTTCCTTTCTGGAGCATGAATACATGCATTATATTTTGATGTTATTCATGGAAGTAATATAAGACTCTGGCATCTCTCTACAAAGCAGTTGTGTCTTTTGAATTCAGGGAAAAGTTGGTTCCAGATGGCAAATGATTTCATACCTCTCTTCAATTGGAAGTTTGATTGTTTTAATTGCCTTGCAAATACTAAACAAAGAATATTATATTAACACTGTGGTTCCTTCACTTTTATTTTTAAAAAATAATCTGGAATTGGAATTAATTTAGCTGAATTCATCAAAGGCCATTATTGATGATTTTTGTATGATTATATATAATTTGAGGCTTTATAGTTTTTCAACAGTTTCAATTGTATTTAATTATTGCTAAGGAGTTCAAGTTGTAACTAGAGTATTGCTAGTTCAAATACAGGTTAATGAAACAGCCTCTGAAATTATATTTTTATGTGGGAGGGAGAACTATAATACTGGCTAAAAAAGAAGGGAAGATAAAATCTAGTAACCACATAAATGTATTCTCTGTATGAATTAAAAATCTTCAAAATTATCATTTCTCTGACACATTCTGGAGTAGTCATTTCCATTCTTTATATTATCCTGAATTGAATTGAAATCCCTCATCTACAATGTTCTTTTCACCCCTAAAAATTTTGGCAAATTTTCTTTTTTCCCCATGACTAGTTTATTTTAGACTGCTCCGTTAGTAACTAACTGATGCACTTTCACCTTTTCTATAGTTATTTAATTTAACTTGGCTTAGCTTAGAGTGTCAGGATAGCTGTCATCATAGATTTGATTTTATGGGCAGTGAGATGAAGCCTAAGCCAGCTGAGTCCCTATCATAACTGAACCCTGAGGACAGTCTTATAACTCCTGTAACAAGGACTTTGGCATGTTAAGTATCATAGCATGAACAAGTAGCATTAAGCCAAGAATACACAGAGAGTAGCAGACCCTGGAAAGAAAATGTTTTTATGTTCCAAACTGCTCTTCCTGTTTAAATCCTGGAAGAACAAAAACATTTTTAACTTGTATATCTGTACTCTTTGACACTGCCATCATAAAGCAGAGACTTGCCTGAGTGAAAGGGTTGCCTCATCCAGAAACTGTCAGTGTAAAGGGAGAATTTAGGCTCTCCCCAACCCTATCTTTTTTTAACTCCACATACCCTAGGAAATACAATGTGATCTCTAAAAGCCTATTTCCAAAGTAGGGTCTCTCTGCCTTTTTGTTGGTAGGGTAAAAAAACCCTGTTGCTTTGTCTTACAGAGCGAATGTCTGCCAACTACCCATTCATTATATAAGCCTGAACTTTGGTAATATATGGCCATGAAGATTAAGCCTTCTATAAAGACTTCCTATTGAGGTGAATTCTCATTCTGAAATGTAGTTACCTACAATATTTACTAGAGATTTACGAGATTAAATTAAGAGATGTAAGAAAATAGGCTTTTTTTGGTTCTACATAATGCTTCATAATTCATTTAGGAACCTAGAAATATTGTGTGAAATGTATAAATATCACCCAAAAGGCTTTCTACCCTATATTTTTAAAATACAGAATAGGTATATTTGATATAGCCCTGGCCCTAGTTCTATAGGGCTTGGCTATTTAATATTTTTATGGAAGAAACATTTAGTTCTGGAAAAGGTAAATGCTTGTATATATTTTTGCAGCCTGGGATCTCCCTACTCCATTTCTTCCTTTAATTTAAGTGGCCACATGTATATGTCTTCCCTGCTGTGTTAGGAAAATGGGGGCTGGATATCCCAAGAATCAGAGGTTATATAAAAAAAAATACTACAAATAGACAGCAGACATGAATATCTACCAAATGCTATCTTAAATTTTGGTCCAAACTGAACATTTGGAAATAGATTTATTGTAAGTGTTTAGAGCTTTTTCTTAAGTCTGAACTAAATTGTTTTTAAAGTCCTTTTTCTTTGTAAAGCATTGTAAATGCTAATAAATCCTGTTAATTCTTTTTTTTTTTTTTTATTTTAACTGCATGTTACATTGAAATAAAAACAAAGTAAAATGAACCACTGCCTTATTCTTCTGCTCTTTTGGTGGGTTGGGAAAGGCAGCGTTCTCTTACCTGAGTTAAGAGGGAAGGACCTTATTTTGTTTTATCAGATGGAATGATGTTAAACTTATCAGCAGCTCATAATAATAAATTCACTCTGTCTCTTATGATCTTTTATCTGAGTGCAGGAGAATCCAATTTCAAAGACTTACAATAACTCTATTTAAAATGCAGATACTGGTTTTTCATCAAGGTATTGAACATAACAATGTCAATTAATCATTGTCCACAAAGGTCTCATCCCAAATGATCTATTTCAATCAAGCCCTCCCTGCCACTTTTTACTTATCTGAAATACTGTCTTGGTGACACATGTAATTAGGCTTTGCCTCTATTTTTATACCCCTCCTTGTTTTGATATGACTCTATTCTTAACTCCTGTAGGGCTGACTACTTCTACTTAGTATTGTTGGTATCTCCAGCCCCCCTTATATTTATGTTTTCATTAATTAAAAATGAATGGCAACATTGGATTGTATATTACTGTTTTGGAGTACCTTTGTTTTCTTGGACTGTAATTTCACATACTCAGGTAACTCTACAAATATAACAGGGAGCCAAGTGCTTTTATAAAGTTCCTTCAAGGGGTTGCCTCACTTGAATTTCTTAAAAGATGTAAGACTATTTATAATTAAAACTTTTTTGGTCCTTCATTTGCTCACTTCTCTGTTAGTCTTCGGTAAAAAGGTTTTCCCCACCTGCAGAAAAGTGTTCTGTGTGACTGGGTCATGTAGACTTTTGCCTCTCTGCAAAGTTACAACCTGTCTATACTATGAGGTGGGAAGAAAAAGATCTCTTACTCAGGTGAGACTGGATTTGGTACTTGCATTGACCAAAACATTTGCAGGGGCCACTGACATAAATGAGGCCCCTCCATCTGAATTACTTTTCTGAGACAACAAAAAATGCTGTAAAACAGGACCCCAGTGTGAGTGCTGAGACCCACCAGTTAGCTCCCTGCAGCTACCCACAGGCTGGCCTGCTTACCAGTGTCAGTAGACATATTAGGAAACTAAGGTCATCAGGCTCTCCTTTAAAATGGAACCAGTGGAACCAGGTGCCATGGTACATGCCTGTAATCCCAGGGGCTCCAGAGGCTGAGGCAGGAGGATCACGAGTTCAAAGCCAGCCTCAGGAACTCAGCGAGGTACTTTGCAACTCAGCGAGACCCTGTTTCTAAATAAAACATAAGAAAAGGTATGGGGATATAGCTCAGTGGTTAAGCATCCTGGGTTCAATCCTCAGCACAAAAAAAAAAAAAAAAAAAATTAAAAAGGAACCAGTGGAGACTCCAGGAAGTAGAATTTTTAACATACTGGTCTAACAGCTACTGTAAGACAAAGTGCAGGCCCCTCCCAGGTCCTGAGTAATGAACCCTATCTGTCCTACAAAAGCAGCTAGAAAGCTCTAGCTTCCGTGTAGCTAAAACATTGGCCTGAATTCTACAAAGCATCAAACTGGGACTCAGCTATGATTGACTGGCTGTTATTCTCAGGATTTTTGAGTGTCACCTTGTGTAACTCTAGCACAGAAGTTGCTGTCACTCTCAATTCATTTTCTGTGTCTCTAGGGCTCCTTTGTGATCAAAACATTTGGGAAGAGCCAGGGTAATATTCTTGGTTGACAGGGAAAGGTAGGAGTCAGCATAGACCCCAGAAGGATCATGTTGGTCCCTTTTGAGTAGGCTCAAAGAAAAGAGGATCTCTTCAAAGCACCCTAGCAAGGGGAAGAAGTGTGGCAGTGACTAGATCCCAAAACATCCTGGAAGATAGTTTACAGGAGGGACCTTCACTGCCATCTTACATTTGGAGAACTAGACCAAGGAGTGAAAGAATTGAAAAAGATCAGGAACCCCCCCAAAAAAAACCTAGAATGGTGAGTAGTGTGAGTGGAACCAAAACAGGGGTCAAGAAGGAGATGGTAAAAAAAAGAAGGAGATGGTGGTAGGGCAAAGAATGTCATTTATCAAGGAAATGACCTTGAGAATTTGTAGTCATACCTGCAGGTCACTGAAAACAGTCATACTGTTATCTTTCCTCATTTCTTTCTTTATTTGCAAGGGTATACTGGGAGGTTTGAAGACAGGGACATTTTACCACCCAGCTGTATCACCCATCTCCACTGACCCTCCCCCCTCCAGAGTCTCACTAAGCTGCCAAGTATCTAAGTTGCTGAGGCTGACATCAAACTTGCACTACTCTTGCTTCAACCCCCTAAGTCACTGATATTTTTCTGTTTCTAACTCAGACTTAACTCTATTCACTTTCTCTAGTGTAGTAACCAGTATCATATCTATATTCATTTCATCAAAGTGTCATTCAAAGCAACTACGAACATTTATCAGAAAGTGTCAGGCACTGATAGATATGCCACCTGAACTGTTTTTAGTTTCCATGGCCACTCTGAGAGAGGAATGACTGCCTCTGTTTACAGATATATAAAATAGGCTCAAAATGATTGAATACATCTACAGCTATTAAGTGGAAAAAGTACAAGTTGGATCCAAAACTGTTTTGTCTCTAAAACCCTTCTACTGCATTGCTATACACAAACCACAGCCCTGGGAGTCTTCCATAAACAATTCAGTCATCCCATCTAATTGGACTCCCAAGTCCTATCAAATCTTATCTCCAAAACTTTGAATTCATTTCCTCAGACCTGCCCTCATCCTTATCCCTAATCCGGTTGACATTGCCAACATCCTTGTTTCCATTCTCCCCTCTCCAGTCCATCTTGTGCTCCCTCTACATGATCTGAGGAAAGTATTTCATGCCTCTCTGCCACTTAACATCTTACAATGGTTCCTCCATTACCATTGAAGAAACTCCAAAACTTAAAAGCTTGCCACTCAATGCCATTCTTGGCCCTACCACCATCTCCTTATTTTTTTTAATATATATATTAGTTGTAGTTGGACACGGTAGCTTTGTTTATTTTTATGTGGTGCTGAGGATTGAACCCAGGGCCTCTCACACGCTAGGTGAGGGCTCTAATGCCGAGTCACAAGACTAGCCTCCCACCATCTATCCTTTTTGACCCCTATTTTGGCTCCATTCACACTACTGGCCATTCTAGTTTTTGCTTCTGGGTTCATGATTTTTTTCAATCTTTTCACTCTTTAGTCTAGTTCTCCACATGTAAGATGGCAGTGATGATCCCTCCTGTAACTGTCTTCCAGGATGTTTTGGGATCTAGTCACTGCCACACTTCTTCCCCTTGCTAAATGTCCTAGTGTTTCCAGCATTTGATAATCATTCCTTTGTATCCATATTTAAAAAAACAAAAACAAAACTTTATTTTGAAATAACTTTAGATATGCAGAGTTGTTGCAAAGAGCACAGAGCTCCTGCACACCCTTCACTCAGCTTTCTCCATTGTTAACATTCCACACAACTCTGATACAGTTGTCAAAAAGCTAATAAACATTAGTAAATAACACTACAACCCTCATTCATATTTCATCAATATTTCCACCGATGTTTTTCTTTTGCCTTAGTTTCCTCCAATCTATGGCAGTCCCTCATTCATTCCTTGTCTTTCATGACCTTGAGATTTTTGAACAGTATTAGATATGGAAAATGACAAACCCCAAAATAGTGAGGCCTGGCAAAAGGGAGTGAAGAAGAAAGCCATACATTGATAGCATTGATCCTTTCTCAATACATTCCTTCCTGGGGAGGAAATATCCATCCAAGCCTAGACTGGCAGTCCCTAGGAAGAAGCCAAAGTATTGACCCTTCCCCAAATAAGTCCTTTCTCATTGGCAGTACAATGAGACCCCTGAGGGAAAGAGAGAAACACTGAGCACTAATGCCACACCCTCCATCTGATCCACAGACTGCTGACCTCAGACTCTCCATCTGCCCACTTACTACTGACCCCAGACTCTCCATTAGACACCCTCTGGCAATAATTAGGATACCTCTCAGTATAACCTATGTAAACATAAACTTACTCTGTGGCCAAGGGCTCATTTTCCACCAGGAAAGTGGGTCCAGAGCCCTCACCTGGCTCCTGCATGAAACTTCCATGGAACTTCCTCCTGAATAAACAGCTGATCCATGAAGTTTGCCCCCGTCCCAGTCTTTTTGTGCTAACAAAGAGTTACTGGTCAGTTGCCTTGCAGAATATCCCTTAAACTGGGTGTAATTTTCTCATGATTAAGGATGTGGACTTCTGTGAAAATTACTACTGAGGCTATGTGCCCTTTGTGCATATCGGGTGCACACATCAGTATGTTCCATTACCAGAAATAACTAACCTTAATCTGGTTAAGGTGGTGTCTTCTAGATTTCCTATCTGGGAAGTTATTATGCAGCCCTCTTTCTGAGAAGCAGACACCCCTGGAAGGAGCACTAAATCCTTCCCCATTAGAAAGGATATTGTAGAATGAAAATCTGGAGGTGGATTATCGACAGAATTCAGCAAACTCCAATGCCAGGAAGAAAAAATTTGTAAAGTGAAAATGCCAATAATCACCATGCTGAGGCTTCTGGAGATAATGAGTACAGTAAGGTAGCACCAGTTTCACTAAACCGCAGCATGTTTTAACGGAAGTTATTTCCTGATAGAAGGCCCAGAAATTTTTGTGGTCTGTCGGAGTAAAAGGTTTAAATAGAGCAGAAAAAGGAACGATATAGAGCTCTGGGAAGAAAGGTCCTCTTTTAATTTTTTTTTAATGTCCTCTTTTAGTGTTTTTAATGGTGAGAAAATGATATAGCACAGACATGTAAAGTGCCTTCTCCAAAGGTAACACAGAAGTGGGGATGAGTTTGGATTCCTAAATCGTGGACTCCCAGGCCAGCTCATCTCAGAGCTTGCATGGAGTATTCCCAAAGAGGTCGCGCTGCAGACTCCAGAGAGAACCCGACTTCAGACCCAACATTAGTTTCCCGTATCTTCAGATCATTCTGGCTCCGCGCCTGTCTTTGCCTCCATCTGGGCGCATACTCTCCC